TCAAATTTAAACCCACCCAAATCTCTTAAACAACTAAAATTGTTCTTGGGTAGCATTAACCATCTCTCTAAATTTATTCCGAACGAAGCAAGTTTGACGGATAAGCTTCGACCACTATTACGTGCTGAAAATGAGAAAAAAACTGAAAAATATTAAAATGCCAGTAAAAAAAACTCCAATGGAGGCAACAGCAATCAGAAATTTTTGAAAATACCGCCAAGATAAATTATTATTAGCCCATGAAGGAAACTCTATTCGATGCCAAAACAAGCCATAGTGGACATGGTGCAAACTTCCATCAAAAAGCTGGGGATGGGGAGTGGATGCCAATTGCAATTGCAACACGATACTTAAACGCCCAAGAAAACAAATATTCGACCAACGAGCTTGAACTAATCGCAGAAGTTTGGTCGGTAGACCGATTTTAAAAATGTCTTTTGGTAAAAGGAGTTTATAATAGCTGCAGATCATTAGGCTCTCGCGTCAGCATTGGGTGAGATTTGGTCGAGCAGAACGTATCAACCCAGACTCGCCAGATGGGCGGACAAATTGCTACCTTACCAATTTAAAATAGTACATATCCCGGGAAAGGGATTTGGGGATAGTGGACTATGCATCAAGAGAGTCGACCGGGGAACCGTGGTCAGAATTGGCATCAGACAAAAATTTCGTTGTAACATCATTAGAGACTTTTACAAAGCTCTTTACTGCTTAAGCAGTCGGCTAAACAACACAGGGGGCTCGAACGGAAAAAAGTAGTTCTGGAACATTCTGAAGCTAAAACTGACGATAGCTAAAAGAAAGACACGTCATCTCACGGTTGCTAGGGTAACCAAAACTGTTCAAAACAAACAGGTCTCGATCGGAACGAAACCGATAAAAAATCAAGACTTTCAACGTTGCAACAAGACAGTTTTTCAAAATTATCTCATTCAGTACAGCCGTATAGCTAAAGTTTGGAGAAATTACAAAATAATCCAAAAAATGGACGACAACAACAACCAGCCAGAGAGCGAAAACTTAAAGAAAACAGTGAGGATCAGTGAGAAGAATCCCAGTAGCGGGAGAGATCGAACGACAGGGGAGGTAACAGAAACAACTTTCGAAAGGACTAGGATGGTAAGAAAAAGGAACATCAAACCGGTCAGATTCAGACTGCTCTGACTCAGCCATCCCCCATATCGAGTGGGAGGCGATGGACAAATACATCAGAGTAAATCCAGAGACATTGACCTCCACGGCAATTAAGAAAGCAGCGCCTAGGCTAGTTTCGTTTTGGGACCTCATCGGAGCAGAGAATCTGGACAAACCTGGGAACATGTTAGAGCTGGAGGCCAACTCAGAGATGATCATCTAAAGATAAGCAGAAAGAGAAATCGACAGCGACAGCAGGAAGAAGGGGACGCCCATCGTTGAAGTAGAGTAGACCTCACAGCAGATAGCTGGAGAAAAGCAGCCCAGAATTAAACGTAGTGACAGGAAGACGAAACAGTCACTCGTCTCGAAAAAACTAGTTTCGTCGGCAGAACGATTCGACGAAGGAGGCTTAAGGAATCTGTCAAAATTATTTGACGAAAACTTGTTAGACGAAATAATTACGAAGGATACGTGGATGAACAGGCTTCGCAGGGTCATTGAGAGGAATGACCGTCACAGTTTCGAGCTTATGGGCCCGTACATCAATCCACTATGCACCAGATGTCAGTTGTAGACGACTGCATTCTTGTGGACAATCGGTTGGAAGTACCCGGCCAATTGCGCCCAGCGGTATTAAAGCGGATCAGTCGCGGTCAACCGCGACAAGAGGCGATGCTGGACGTTTCCATTTATTTGTTGTGGCCCCACATGCTTTAGGATATAGTCAGTTTGGCTGCGGAATAAAGACGCTGCACCCGCTATAGTAAGAATGCTACATATGCAGTAAGACATAATAAGAAGGCTGTCATTCCAAAAAAAGCTGCAAAACCGCTATCAGTGCGAACGCAGCCGAGACAAGAACTACAGCTTGATTACGTGTGACCACTCGAAGACCATACAGGAAAAAAATACTTGCTTGTGGCAACAGACCGGTACTCTAAATTTCCGCCGGTAAAAATAAAAATTCAACAGTTTCACCTTCGATAAACTTTTACGTATTGATATCGATACAAACCGAATATCCGAATCAATGAGAACTGATCAATTTTTCGGCTTCAAGGGTAAAGCGATGAAAAAATGTTGTTTAGAAAATAACAAAGAAGAAACATTCTGCCCTGTGGGGGACCACCGAGGGTGTAGGTTGCTCGAGCTGACTATACAAACAATCAAAAGAAGACTTGGGGGATCCTTTTCGATGAAAACGTCACATCCATAAAGCTATGTTTTGGCACAATAATGTGTGACCTTAGATGGAGTGACGATAGTACGCTCTCGTTTCGAACCTCATTTGGACGACTTCCAGAAACAGAATTTAAAATCATAAGCGACAAATTCTCAATCGACTCTGATCATTTAGATAATGAGCACCTGGAGCGATCGGCCCTCACGGCTTCACAGTTTAAGAAACGCATTGACCAATCAAGGGACAACGTGAAGATTGTGCAAAAAGGACAAACAGTCGTGATGTGAGTCCGCTGTTTAAACAGCGAGTGCAGTCAGCCAATGAGCGAGATCGAGTCCGGGCTTTAAAGGCTCTCCTCGGTGTAAACACCCGATTGAATGCCACACGAACGGACACATCTGCGAACGATATCAGACAGATAGTGGATGAAACCAGTACAAAAAATCCGAAACTGAGAAAGGAACTTCTCTACTCGTGAGAGCGTGGCTTGATAGAAGATAAACCGCTGGAGACTGTCTAGCAATTTATCACAAAACCTTCTCAGAAAAAAAATAGGAAGAGTGGGAAGGTATTAACGAACCCGTTAAAAGTAAACGTAATTTCAGAAACGCTTTATGTTGTCAAAACAGCCGCGGGGCGATACATAGAAAGAGTGTCAAAGCAAAATCTAAAGTAACACACAATCACCAGAGAAACAGAAAAAAACCAGAAAAGGCAAAAGCCCAACTACCGAAGAATCCAAAAGCAAACATCAGAAGAAAACAACCGATGCGCTGCTGATAGAGAGCGAATCGGAAGATGAGATGCTGCATCGACAGCAGAAATCGGAACAGGAAATGGCCAGAGGGCTACTTCAAGACAGTCCATCAATCGTAACATCAAAAGATACGGAGGCAGGCGAAAGACTGATTTTGGCAAAAAAAATGAGAGAAGCCAAAAAATGCAGGTTTAATTACAAGCATCCCAGGAACTCAGGAGAAACATCGTGCGAAAAGAGCAAACAGTCGTGATGTGAGTCCGCTGTTTAAACAGCGAGTGCAGTCAGCCAATGAGCGAGATCGAGTCCGGGCTTTAAAGGCTCGCCTCGATGCAAACGCCCGATGCAATTCCACCTGAGTTCCTGGGATGCTTGTAATTAAACCTGCATTTTTTGGCTTCTCTCATTTTTTTGCCAAAGTCAGTCTTTCGCCTGCCTCCGTATCTTTTGATGTTACGATTGATGGACTGTCTTGAAGAAGCCCTCTGGCCATTTCTTTTTCCCATTTCTGCTGTCGATGCAGCATCTCATCTTCCGATTCGCTCTCTATCAGCAGCGCATCGATTGCTTTCTTCTGATGTTTGCTGAGTTACACTCAAGAAGAAAGAAAAGAAACCAACGGTCCAAAAGGCAAGAAAGGCCAAAGCTGCATCAGCAGTCAAGGAGAAACAACAATCAGATTATCAAAGTTTCACCTTAATTCCAAGCTCGTCGAAAGCAATTATATGCTCGTTGACACCCAGAAGGGCAAAAATAGAAAAATTGAAAAAAATCCTTCATCACTCGCCAGATAACACCGGAGATAACCTTGAAAGCTTTTTAAAATCAGGACATGACGCCGGATAAATGGGAGAATCTACCTGTTCAGTTGCTCACCCGAGCAGTACAAAAATCGGCCGAGGAGATCCTGACGTCAAGAGATAGAGCAGCAGAGGCGGACGTGGAAAATCACTGAACACTTCTTCAGGTTTTTCCGATGAGTCGTTCCGTGAAGAGACTGACGGCTCCCCATTAGCGAGACGAAGCGGAAGGCAGACTAGAAACCAAGGACCCAGTCGGCACGGAGACCCGATAAAGCATTCGGTACGCTTAATATGTTCGGAGGCAGATATCACGGACTTGAACAGGCCGGCTCTGGAACTGGAAGTTAGGATGTTCATCCCTGGACATTACTCGAACGTGGAATGCAGCGTGACGAGTACCACTCCAGATTGAAGCAGTAAAAATAGAGAGAGATGCAGCGTAACAAACTGAATTTGTTAAAGAAAAAGGGTGTCAATTAAAATGGGCCTTTCCGTCATACGACGGTCCGTGCACAAGTTGAATACGGCCATAACAATGCTATATAATTACATCGGGAAAACTTATGAATATATTCAAGCGATTTTAAAGCATCCAGAGAACTGTCAATTAAAACTTACCCTCCTCGATTATAGCACAGATGAATTTGTCTATGTTAGATGTATTTCTAGGTTTTTTGCATCCCCTGAGGCAGAGGATTGCACTCCTCAGAAGTGCAAAACAATTTTTTGTGTCCGAATATGATTCGTTCCGTATTTCGCTGAGTTTCTCTGCTAGTTTCTGGACCGTTTTTGTGGAGCCTGGTGCTGCTCCAGTACACGCAAAAATTAGTGGAACAAGTCTGCTGTGTTCCACATCCAGAATTCTTTGTTGGTATTTTAATGTTTTGACACTCTCATGATATTTGTGGCGTCAGATATAGTTTCAAGGCAGGATTTAGCATGGGGGTTAAAAATTTTTACATCGAAAAAGGTTAGGCTGAATCGACCTCCCCAGAGTCCATTTGCCTTGATGTCAAGTCGAGCGTCATCTTCAGTAGTGGTTGTTTTGTTGTGAAAGCTTTCGCCTTCCAACGATTCTGAACGATTTCGACTAGACTCTACTAATTTTATGACATCATAGGTTTGATGGTTTTCGTGATAAGGAGCTGCAAAATGCACTGAACTGGACAATCTTCGCATCCCACAAAGCGACCATTAACTACCCATTTTTCATCACAAAAGCGGCAACTCCAAGTTCAATTCAAAAATCGGAGCTGATAACATCTGAATTGAAATCCAGAAAAAAAGATGTCTGCTGGATTTTTTCCGACTGCATTGTTGATCAATCTGGGAGACAAGGATTTGTGAAAGAGTTTCTGGCTCACTATGAAGGGAACTTTCATGTATGGGGCAAAGGATTACAAGAGTGCATGAAACAACGCGGGATAAAAGAAAAAGTAGTGGACCATGGTTATCTTGAAGGAAAAAGAGAGGACGTTCACGCACCACAACAACGAATAATCCAAGACTGCAAATTCTATTTCGCCCTTGAAAATTCGTATTGCGAAGGTTACATTTCTGAAAAAGTTTACAATTCAGTAGAAGGCGGTGCTATTCCAATCATGAACGGGTGGCGCGAAAGCTGCGACAAGCAGCTACCTAAAGGGTCCTTTATTCACGTTTCGGATTTCGAATCAATTTCAAACTTGACAAAATATATCGAGCGGCTTGTGAAAAACGAGAATGAAATGCTAGCTTATCATAAATGGAGACAAACTGCACGCCTGGAGCAAAGTGAAATTGAAACTGTTTGCAAAATATGCAACAAGCTCAAAGAACTGGATTATAGAAAAGCTATGGGCATGAAAACGGAGCCAGAAATTATAGAGAATCCGTATGAAACAATCATTAATCTACAAACGTGTATTTAGAAAAAGGGTCAGCGAACAATTTAATACCCCGGGTTGACTTCCATAGAAGAAAAATGCTTATCATACAATTTCATATATAGTGTCTATGGAAAAAAATGCTTATCATACAATTTTCATACAAAATTTTAAAACGGTTTTAAAGAATTTTGGTACAGATACATATTCTACTTGGCGCTTTTAAAGCTTTCTGGTCGAAAAAAGCTTATCATACAATTTCATAGTGCGCAAAAAAATGCTTATCAATCTAATTTCATACAATTTTGGGGATAAAAAGTCTGATAAAAAGCTTTAAATTTAATTCTATAGTATAGTATGGAAAAAATGCTGGTAATAAATTTTTATAGTATGAAAAAAATGCTTATTTTGCTATTTTCATACATACACTTTTACTCAATGAAATTGTATGAAAGAGTATGATAAGCATTTTTTGTCAACCCGGGACGTCAATGACTTGACTCTATTAACATGTCCTGTACCATAGTGATTTTGTCCTAAAGGTGTTCGTCTAACTGTTTTTTATACTTTGTGTGAAAAATTGCAGAATATGCATTAATGTTGTTTAAAATAAACGGTCTATTTGTGTTGTACAATATTTCGATTCAAGAACATATTTTGTATGAAACAAATTCAATTTATTTTCAAAATGAGGTGTCTCTTCACTATTCTTTCTATCGGAATCCGAATTACGACTGAGAGGGGTTTGAAATTAAACCACACTCTATTTTACTCAAACATTCTTCGAGGAAACAAAAACAGGTTGAAACAAAGATAGCCGGTTACTCAGCAAGTTGTCTCAGAAAAATAGAAAAAACGGTGTTTTTTTACTAACTGGTGTCGTTTTTTTCTGCATATTGTAATTTAAAAAATCTGAACAAAAAAAATATAATTTAGGCATAATAGAGAGTCATAGTAAAATAGGTCAATAGGAAAACAGATTTTGAAGAAAAAATCCAACCCAGTCCAATGATTCGGGTAAACCTGATTTTGCGTGGAAAACAAAAAAATCATAAAATACAAACGAATACAAAGTTCGTCCCCATTTTCAATGGTCGGAACAAAAACAGCTATCAAATCCACGGTTCCTTCACACTCCTCGAATGCTGTACACTATTAAATTTGACACTGAGCCTGTCAAATACTGCTTGTCATAGATGGATCACAATCGAGCGTGACCAAGTGACGATGTTTTTTTTTGCCGAATTCCCAAATGAGATGAAAACTAAATCGCATGAAAATGAAATAGTTATCAAAAGGCATGAAATCGATATATTTGTCGAAGTAAATTAAATCATTAAGTTGCAGTAAGAACAGATTAAATGGTTGCTGTGCAAGTAGCCCAGAATATTCCAACCACAATAATTTTAGAAAAAAAATTATCAAAAAAAATCGATTAAAAAAATTGATTTTTTTTATCAAGAAAGTATTAGATATTTAAGTAAAAAAGTAAGTAAAACGTATAATAATAGCTGCAACTTTGTTATAATTGAAGCGGAATTGAATTGGGATCTCAGCCAATTTCATTTAAATTGATCAAATTTCCAATATTTTGTCCAGAAAACCCAAAAATTTTGAGATCGGTTTTTCTCAACTCTGGGAGAAATTTTTTTCATTTTTTTTAGAGTTCGAATCACGGCTACAAAGACCGGAATATAAAACCAAATTTGACTTCTACGAAGTTTTATTTCAGGTACTCAACGTTAGCTGGAACAAAACGGTCTTCGAGTGATCGCAACTAAAGCTTATTAAGAGTTAGTTATTTAGAAAAAAGTTGGTTAACACTTTTTCACTTTTTCTCGACTTTAATATTTCAAATCCTAATACTAAAAGCAATTTTTTTGTCATTAAAGGATTTGGAAAAATTGTTTCCATAAGTATAGTCAACGCCATTTGTTTGAAATTTTGCATGCAAAAAAAACTAAAAAAACTCAGATTTTGAAGACAAAAGTATAAAACATTAAGATTTCAATTTGTTTTAAAAACACAGCGCAAAAATACAGCGAGAGTAATGAAATCTATAGCAATTTTATAGCTCACTAAATTAGCCCTCAAAATGGGCAAAAGTTATTCAGCCAAAATAAGGCAACAATTGATTTTTTGGGAAACTAGTTGCTACGGAAGAATTTGAATTTTAATAAAACACTGATGGAAAAGCATTTGCTAACATTATGTTCATAACTGTCCAATTTGCTAGCCTCATTTCCATTTGGAACGATTAGCTAGCCTCAATTCAATTTGCAATAATTTTGTTGAGAAGGATATTTGCCAAGCATAACTTATTGACGTTGCATTTCAGGTTTATGGATAAAATCTTCAAAGCACGAATAAAATAGTCCAGAATGGCCAAAGTTGCACCTTTCAAACTCCCAAAATTTTGCAAAAAAAGATTGGAGGTAAAAAATCTCTTCAAATTTAATTTTGATGAGTCAATATGGGGCACAAAAGTTTTTTTTGTTAGAAGCTTTGATTCGATCACCGAAAATTGACAGAATAAAAAACCACACCAAGCAAAAGTCGAAACAACAAATGCACGGATACATCATGGGTAGACGCTCGTTGAAGCAAACAGAAACTGAAGTGGATTTTCATTCCCCTCCACCACGTTATCAATCAAATTTTGCCTTTTAAACAACCCAATATGGGGCAACTGAGTCAAAAACAAATATGCCGAAATCTTGCAGCCAAAAAACGAAAAAAACTGAAACTCAAATATAATTCTAACTGGAGCTTGTAATTAAGATGAACGTATTTCCCCGGTTTATCCATGTAAAAGCCCTGTGCAAAAACAACAATTTGTTGTTCCAGCTTTTGACGAAGGTGACAGAATATTTGTGCACGTCGGTGACGCTCGTTTGTGCTCGTTTTTTTTTTCGTTTGCGCTCGCCAGAAAATTTTTTTATGTCATCTAAACCATTTTGCTGAACTGCGCTCAATTTTAAAAAGATATTCGTCTGTGATCATTTTTCGTCAAGTTATACAATTTTTTAATTTTGTTTTGAAAGTTTAAAGAAATTTTTAAATCAAACATTACTCCATTGAGTTAAAAAGACAGTCATACAGGCTTTTACGCTGATACGAGCAAATAATTAAAAGCATGAGAAATTAAAAGCAAGTATTTTTCTTCATGAAGTGACTGACTGAAAGATGTAAGAAAAACCGTTCACTGAAAAAAGATTAGTTTTTTATTAAAAAATTCGGATGCTTCAAAACATCACAGCTAACGCTTTTTGGGAACTAATTCGGGAAACATCAAGATCACAGTTCATTTTAAAAACAACTGATAGACTGATCTGGGTTTTCCTCGTGCGCGAAAGACCGAAGGCGCGAAAAAGTTGATGGCCAATCAAAGTTCACTAATCGTAAATTTGAGAGAAACAAGCTATAAAATCGGTCAGTTTTGGACAGTTTAAAAGGCCTTGATTGGTTGAGAATTTTCATTCGGTCCTTCGCTAATGAGAATAGTACTCAGAGGAATTTATTGCAGAGGAATTTATTGAGAAATTTATTGCAGATAACAAAGTTGCAAATTAGCCGATAAAAATCAAACGAAAGACGCATTGAAATGTTGAAAAGAAAAGAGTTAATTTAGTACCTCGTTAGGGGAGAATCTGTCGGACAAGTAGTCTGTGCCATATCTCTCCCTCAGTAGCTTGCCCAGTTCATACTGCTGCTGTGACCCCACAGGTGTCAGTTTCTGGGGGTAGCCTATCTTGTTCCACATCTCGTAGTGGGGGTCATTGGGAAGCAGAATGCCAGGAGTAGCTGTTCCGTGGCGAACTAAAACACAACGACGGATATTCAAAAAAAAAGATAAATGTGAATCGTGAAAAACAAAAGAAACTTATGTCATTGGTGTTGAAATTTGCATCCTACTTGAAGCTCTAGAATAATTGTTACATCGTCATTATATAAATTATTAGTCGCTGGTTATTTTCGGCTGATTCATATGGTAACTGGTGTATACTTTGAATGAATTACATTCCACATGACAATTAATCTCTGTCAGAGCCGGTCTAGTTTTGACCGAACTTTGGCGGATTCCGCAATGTGCCTCATTGAGCCAAAAATTAATGCCGCATTTACCAGAGTAGAAAAAAATCAGTTAGGGCTTCGGCGCCAGCAAATGGAGAGTTATTGGAATAATTATCGCAAGCAGTGTTTCCAACCAAAAAGTACGAAAGAACTTAGTATACGGAAGTACACTCACAGGACATAGATGTTGCAATTTCAATTAAACAAGCAAATTAGCGAGTTTTTTTCACGTTTTTGTCGTTTTCTCTTCAACTACGGAAAATATAAATTGGAAATTTTGACACAGGCTAGATGAAACTAGTTTAAAGAAATTAGTCGGGGCAAAATTTGAGAACAATGGTTGTGAAGGCGTACAATAGTCAGTAACTATAACTAGTTTCAGAGTTGTTCTTGCTATGGAAATAAACTTGCAAACAGCATGAGGAATTTAGAAGTACAAGCTTCATATAGGTTCTTTGGGAAGCTGATGATATTGACTTACTTTTTATGTTGCAGAAAAAATCAGAAAAAATTTCAAAGTTTACCATCAATTAAGGGCTGAGTTTTTCTGAGTGATTTTGCGCTGATGATTGAAATCAGCCAGTCAAAAACAAAATTCAATTAAAGAAATTTAGAAAAAATACTGCTCCGATTTATGCACCGGACTCTCATAAGCAGTTATGTTGTCTCTAAATTTGTACATTTATCTTGTAAAAGTACTCAAGACGTTATAAAGTATGTTTTGTCAAAATAGACACGACTGTTTTTTGACGCCAAACCAGGTCACTTTTTCAATTATTTTGCATGTATTTCTTCCGCAGCATAGAGAGTATTTCATGATTATCAGCTTCTTACAGAACAAACTTGAGCTCGTGCTTTTAAATTCCTTGTGTTGTTTGCGAGGATATTTCCACAGCAAGAACAGTTCTAAAATTAGTTACAATATACTGGCTGCTTTACGCTTTCAAAATAAGATTTCTCAAAACTTTATCGACTTAATTTTTCCCAATAGTTTCGTATAGCATGCATCAAATCTTCAACGAAATGACTTAAATATTTGAGAAAACAAAAAACGGAAAGAAAAAATTTGCCTCGCAAAGAAAAAGGTTACCTGGTTTTAAGCCAACGCCAAGAAAAGTCTAAACTCGTGAAAAATAAAACTTTTTGCTGCTATGTTTGCTACATGAAAAATTTCACTTATTCAATTTCTTAAAAAGAGTTGAAATTTTCTTGCAACCTGTTTTGTGGGCTCTTTTTCCTTCCCCCCGCCCCCCCCCCCCCCCCCACCTCACACGAGCTTCAATATATTAGTGTAACGAGTGGTTTTACGAGGTTGAGTATGAAGACCAAATATGTTTGTCGTGGCCTTATTAGTCTTTCATATCAATTGGACAATGTGGTCATTAAATTTACATGTAAAAGTTTGCAGGTGGGGGGGGGGGGGGGGGAGGAAAAAGAGCCGTTTTGTGATTTCTGGTTTTAAAAAGAAATATGCAAAAAAAATTGTTCAAATAGCTTTGATTTACGGAAATGAAATCAAACCGAAAATGAAAATTAATCGCAAACATAAATATCGCAAAAAAAGTCACTCTCTCAAATAAAATTTCATGTTTTTTTAACGTTCTTGTTATATTTTCTTAATTAGGGCGACTTAATTAGATGAAAACGACAAAAAAGAGTGGTGATAAAGGCTAAACTAAGTTTTCAATTATGGATTAGTTAGATGGGGCTGTCAACCTCACATCAGATTTCGTCAAAAGCCGAAAATATTCAGACCAGCTGTTCTCGACAAAGCCTTTTCTCAAATCCTGGAATAATTAAATTAGCGTCGGAAAAACACGCCTAACGCAACATTTTCTTCGCATCCCATTTTAGGTCGTCGTAATTATTTTTTTGACGCCGAAATCAAAACTAAATGATTTAACCTCATGAACAGTCCTGGCATGATGTTTCGTTCAACCAAACCCCCCACAACAAGACTTAAGTCGGACAAAAATTGTAAGATAATTTTTCCGATCGAAAACAACCAAAACTCCAATATGAAATACCTACTCAGAACTTCAGAAGTGAGCAAACATTTTTAACAACCAATACAGAGGAGAAAAGAATAAAACAGATGTAAAGCGGAGTTTTGTAACACCTGCGATACAAAAAAGATATGCTAAGTAAAGTAATCTAAGAAAAATCTTGACTACTTGAGAAAGATGTAACATATTTTCATTTTTCAAAAGTTTGAGTTTTTTAGCGATTCAGTTCGTCCAATCTCGATCGCAGATCGAATTCCGAAAAGTCCATTTAATAAACTCAACAAAAGCAAACATATCTTTCGATCATATGTGAAAAAGACAAGAACTCAACATTTTACTCCAAATTTTGTAATCAGATAAGAAAATTATTCCAAATAACTTAAGCTATAAGATTTCCTTCATTGATTTTTGGTTATATTACTTTTTCGACATCGAGAATAATGAATTACTATTATTAGGTTTCTTGGGGCTCAATTACCTGCAATATTGCAGTAATAAATCAAAATCCGTTTCAAATATGACCTTAACGTTTCGACCAAAAATCTAATAGACTAGTTGTATCCAAAAATTAAATAACGAACAAAAAATAAAAAATTATTTAAGAAGAAAACTTTTTTTTTGCATAAAATTTGATTTTTTTTTTGAAAATTTATTTCCAAGGAAGTTCTTATATTCTAACTGAACAATTTTTGTGCAACTAACGTTACTCGATTGCTTTACTCGCTCGAAATTGGACTTGACTCAAAAATTTCATACCAGTTTTTTTCAACACAAGGAAAATTTTTTGAATATTTATGACTTACAGGGCTTTCATATGACAAATCAATAGACCACTCCAATAATTATTCGTATCTGATTTTGCGGGGAAAAAATTTAAAAAAAAACAATGAAATCAACCTGAAAATTTCTTCCCACTTTCAGTGGTCGGAACAATAAGCAGACAACCGCTTTCAGCCCATGTTTTAAGTTAAACCCCAGCTTTTTGTCGTGCAAAGCATCTATGTTGTCTCGACAAGAGTAGCAACGGGAATTGGCCTTCTTTTAAATTCAGTCAACTGATGAGCTCTGTGAACAAAATTATATAGGGAAAAAGTCTAGTATCCAATGAAATAACTTCACTAATCGCAAGAGTAGATATCTATTGCCCGTTTAGAACTGACACGCTCATGCTTTCGTTTTGAAAAAAAAATTACGACCAACATTCCATCTTTTATCAAATGGTTTTGTCAAAATTAAGAGGCGAAACATATCTTGAGAGATATAGTTAAACGACAACACGGTTTAATAATTTAAGCAGCACAGGCTATTCGATCATTTCTAGTTTGCTTGAGAACTAGTCTTACCTAAGCTAACAACTAGAATGAGTGAATCGGACGCCTGTGACGATCCATTACTGAGTGTTGTATGAAAATTCAGTGAAATTACAAACAAAATAAACAGAAATGTTAAGCAACTGCTAGAAGCCATATCTCTTCGTCCGTGCTTGTTTCCAAACATTTCCGCAAAGATTCAAACCTTTATGATATTTTCAATAGTTAAAAATTTTCGGTAAAGTGGATTTGACTGAATTTCAGTTTATCGACAGGGTAAAATGTTTTGAAAGTTGAAAGTTCCAGTGTTAGATTAAATGCCTCAAAACAAATCGAGTATGATTGCCTTAATTCATCTTATCTGTCAATTTAACTATCCAGATACCCAAATTTGGCACCCAAATTCCAGATACAAAAAGAATATGTCGGTCACAAGGTGTGTTATCTTCAGATCATAATATATCTGAAACTTTACTGCTAATATGTGCTACTAAGGGCGTTAAATAAAGCAACAAATGAATCTGACCTCGCTTTAATTACGCAGCAAATTTGTTCGGTTGAATTTATTAGTAGAATACTAAAATGATTTGATGATACGCCAAAGACTTTGGTGAGCGGGTTCAAAATATATGAACTTTTTGAATTAAACTACAAGAAAACTTTGCAATTTAGGAGTAGTTTTGCAGGTTTATTGATATGAATCGCTGAGTAATGTTAACTCAAAGAAATTAATTTATTATTAGCCAATTTTTGATTTAATTACCAAATTATATTTTGTAAAAAAATGTTAAAAATCAAATTCAATTGTTTGAAAAATGCAATAAATCAGTTTGCATCAAACTATACAGATTATAATCAACAAGTTTTTAAATTCAAATTAGCAACAATTTAAACGGTCCATGAAGATAACAATCAAATCATAAAGTTAATAGATACTTTTCTCTCAATGTTTTTAATCAGTTCTATCCAAATGAAGATATGGAAGCTTTGAAAAAATTAAGTCAGAAGTGGACTGAATGTTAGCTCTTCTCCAATTTCAAAACTTGATACTCATTTTCAGTTTCAATTTCTGTCTCATAGCTCCATTTCTGCCTTTCTCCAGATCCGAAAAGCAGGTAAATAACTCCCCCAATTGAGCTTATCCCCCCTAACAAGTAGAAAACATTCTGCCATAATTCAGGACTGTGTACGTTATTTTGAGTGTAATAAGTTACAAAGTTCGGCAACATAATTCCAGGCAACACAGCGAACTGGTTGCAAACAGCGAACAAAATTCCAGCATAGTTCGGCGCAAGGTCTAGATGGTTGCAGTGATAGCCTGAAAATGTTGCCGCGAAGCACACCATTCCAAGCGTGAACAGAAGAATAGTTGTAGAAGTGTTGCAGCCCGAATGCGCGGCGAGAATGAAAAGAACAGCGGGAAGAAAAGAGCCCACTGATTGGTTGACTTTTCTGGCGACTCCTGTTGATACGATTCGTTTCTTACGTAACAGGTCGGTGAGGGACGAGAAAACTAAGATCATGGAACTACTGCAGAGCCATGGGAGACAGCTGAAGATGCCGTTCTGAAAACATTAAACACCCGGTCACAGACAATTTTGGTTCATATGCTCACATGACTCCTTTAGATCGTCTGCTCCCCATTAATACGGGCTACTTGACTTTCAGATGAATCAAAATTGCTCGTTTGAGGGCGAAGCCCTTTTTTACGACTGCACTTAAATTAATTTTAATTTCTATGGAGAAGTTGAAATTAAAATATTTGATGAAAAATTCAAAAAATGAAAAAACTTCAAAAGTTTGTTATGTGGTTTTCGGAAAATCAAAACCTACACGCTATGTTAAGTACAAAGTGATATATTTCGCATATAGTAAAGTATTAAACAGACAAAGGAGCATGCCTCAATCCAATTTATAGGGAATTCTAGGACGGATTAAATCTCCGCTTACGCGTTAATAACACGAAATATCCCGCATCCAAGTTTAGGCGTAAGTAATCGATTATAACGGATTATTATGTTGATTTTTTGACAATTATAATTATGATTAAAATTGAAAAATTGAAAATGATTATTATTACCGAAGTTAAGAAATCAAAAGATTTAGAATCGATTATAACTGTGATATAACCAAGAGATATAACTGATTATAATTCCTACGAAAAACTCTACATCAACTATACTCGAGAGAATCGATTAAAAAGACCTATTTTGCCTAACATTTTCACACTAAAAGGGCATTTCAATTATATCCTATGGATTCGTATTTTCTGACAATTACAAAATCTCTGAAAGTGAGATGTCTTGTCACACTGTGGTTCATCTGAACACAAAGTTTTACCAGGAAACAAAAGTTTCACAGAAATCCTTTCATATTAGTCGAAAGGTTCCAACTGATGGTGAAAAATAAATCTACCAAATAAATGATGAATCTAAAACAATGTGCCAATATTTTGGTAGTTAAAAAACTTAAAATGTGCATCATGAAGAAACTCTAATCGAGACGAAACGAAAAAATATATCTATGTTGAAAATTTGATTTTATTTGAAAACTGCTAAAACAATTTTCCCATTTTTCACATAAACCAACGTCTAGAATAAACATAAAAAGTAAGGAATTCAGATGAAAGGTCGACAAATAAAATGGATTATAATCGGTCATAATCGACTTATCGATTATAAATCTATCGGAAACTACATTGATTCATAATCAAATAAAATGTATTATAATTGATTATAATTTGATTTCAAAAAAGATTATAATCAATTTTTAAATAAATAATTTCGAATTTTTCTCAAACTTAGTAAGACTGGTACTAAAATCATAACATAACCAATTACTAACGCTTGAAACTGGATGCGATATGAGTTATTATTTTTCTGTTAATGACAAACCTCTAAAATATTGAAGTTTTGTCCAGTTCGGTTTAGCTGAACACAAAATTTTACGAAATTTTCGTAGAAATCCCTTCATTTGAAAAATTCATGAGGTAGGTAAAGTTAAAATTTTTCAAACAATTCATGAAGTTTAAAAAATGTGCCCATAATTTGGTGCTTGGAAAAAAAACTAAAAATACGCATCATGAAACAACTCTTAATCGAGAAAAAGTGAAAAAAAAAATGTGAAATGATTTGGAAACTGCTCAGTCAATTTTCCCATTTTCACAGAAACCAACGCCTATGAGAGGCATAAAATGTAAGCAAATAAGATGTAAGGTCGAAGACGAAAAGGGCAAACAAAAGGGATTTTAATTGATTATAATCAATTAAATTGAATTTTTTGTGCATAACAAAAAAATTAGAAACCGATAAAAATAACCAATTTTATTTGATTATATTCGACTATATTTCAGTCAAAAAATAGATGGATTAATAATCTAGTATAATTTATTAATCTGTATCATAAATGACAAAAATTTGTGTTCAAAAAGAGATTATAATCGTTTATTAATTGATTATAATATTATTTTTCTCATTTAGTAAGACTGGTGCTGAAATTAAAATATAATCGATTATTAACGCTTGAAAGTGGATGCGGGTCGGCTTGGCTTATTGTTCCGACTTTCGATACGAAAGTAACGGAATATTTGTGCTCGGGGTGGGTTTTTTTTTCTTCAGACAAATTTCGACTTTTTAACTAGCCATTTTTGACGGATTTTTTTACATCATTCGAAAGGTATTGTTGTCTTGAGCTCAAATTTGAAAATATTTTTCACCTGTGATCAGTTTTCGTAAAGTTACGGGGGTTTAAAGATTGCCATTTTGGCCAATTTGGGAGAATTAACGCGCGATATATTTCGCGCTATTAACGCGTAAGCGGAGAGTTAATCCGTCTTAGAAATGTTCCAAATTGGTTAAAAGAAGCTTATTTGCCATAATTGGTTTGTTACAAGGATCGAAATCTATCTTTTTGTACTTTGTATGGCGTGTGGGGGGATGATTTTCATAAAAAATTTCAAATTTTAGAAATTTTTTTTTTGATTTTGTTTTATTTTATTTGATTTTTTTAATGTTATTACTGCTCCATAAACCTTAAAAGGCAGTCGGAACATTCAGGATTTCGCCCTGATACGAGCAGTCTTGTAATTACGTTTTGAAACTTATCAAAGCCTGGCAAAAATATTGACTTTCCAAAAAACAAGAGAAATTGCGGGGGAAATAGTTGAGAGAGGAAGCTCTAGTTGCTGTTTTACGATCGCCTGCATTATTTTTTTCTTATTCAGTTTTCCTCGCTTCGTCTGATAGTGAAATGGAAATCAAAACTTAAGCTAATATTTCCAACTATATTTCAGACTACAGTCAAAACCTTGTATAATTACTGACTAAACAAATAATATGTTGCTTATGAATAGTTCAATGTGGAGTGGGAAAAAGCTGAAACCAAAATGAAGATTCAACTAAGTAAAAAATGTTTCTATTTTTTGCACCCTATGAAGGACAACTCACAGCAGACAAGTCGTAGTTGAGTACCCTGGATATGTAGGGCGAGAGCAGCAACATCACTCCAATGTTGATCCAGTTAGAGCAAGACTGGGCTACTATTAGGGCCAGAACAGGCCCATTGGTCAAAGCTCTTTTCCTGAATAAGAAAAAAAGCTTTAGATAAGTCAAAAATTCCTCTCAGAAAGTTAACCATAGATTCTTTAAAGTTGCTTGCATAGACAAAAACGTACTCATCAAAACAATTTACTGCTCATATATATTGGTCTTTTGTAAAATTTAAAAGGAGCCATCAGACCGTTGGAAAATAGTCAATGAATGTAGGTAAACGGAATGCAAATACTGACTTGTTTTTTGCAAAAACAACAATTTTTGAATCTCAATTTTGCTGAAATAATCCATATTAAACACAGAGGCGAAATTGCACTTCGCATACACAAGCAAAAACATGACCGATAACGCTACTGGGAAAAACTGAATGAGTATAACATAAATTCTTAAGTGACGCACGCCAATTATGACGCATTAGCAGTACCAGTCAATTTGAAAAAAAAACATTTACCAACTAACATGCCCCAATTTATAGAACGGACGCATTTTAACTAGTATACGAAAAAGTTCAATAAAAACATCCGATCCTGTCCAGAATGGAACCCTCTTATTTTGTTGCGGGTCTCCTTCCCAATCTCTACGCTACAGATACATGATACCTTGAAGTTAAAGTGCTATTTGTATGTAATATAATAGTATGTGTTTAAATCCATAGCATTGTCTGAACTTAATAGCAGGTTATTGATCTTATCCACTGAATGAACACTTTCAAACTGAACACTATATTTGCGACATAAGTTGGAAAAAAACTATCACACAAGCTTTCCTTGTGTAAAAAACTTGATCATTACGTAAAATTTTTATTTCGCTATTTTTATTTCATACTATCACACAAGCTTTGCTGGTGTAGAAAACTGGATCAGTACGTAAAACTTTTATTTCGCTGGGAAATCTGATAACACAATTCCACTTTCGAAATTAGATGACGATCACGTTTTTCGGGATTAACCGCACCATCCCCTCTAAACCTTTTAGGGGGAAGAAAATACAAGTTTGTTGAACCGTTTTAGTGAGCTTTACACTTTTGCTGTTGGATAGTGGAGTTTGCCTTCCTTTTAACAAAGGAAATGAACTGAACTTAGAAAGAGATCAAAAGTTAATTTCAACTTGAACAAATTGTTAATTTTTTCCTATAACAAACAAAAATATGACGACCTAAATTAGATTATGAACTACGTTAATCGAATCTTAATAACCAAGGGGTGAATGGTCAAGGGGCGAATATTTTTCTTAGGAGCTCAACAACCTCATGAACGCAGACGTCCACAGGTCTCTTTATGGCTTATATAAAACTTATTAATATTAGCTTTATAAAATTTACTGCATTTCAAAATCTCACAAAACCGTCCATAAATGATATCAAAAACCAAGATTTCTTCAAACACTTTTATACATTCAATTTCAAAATTTGACCTAGTGAGAAAATAATTATTTGGGCGGCTGACCATGGAAAGGGTGTGCGTGTGGTTGACTGGGCAGTGTTGTTGGTGATGTAAGTCATCTCGGCCTCCAAAATCCTCGGGTGGGACGAAGGGGTGTCGGATGCCACTCTCCACCACACACTAAGCCAGCCCAGGGAGATAAGACCATGGAGGTAGAAAACTAAACAAGATGAAAAATAAATTTTATTGCATAATTAAATTAAAATTCTGACGATACTGGTCAATTGATTTAGCGGTATTCAAACCGGAAAATGAAAGAAATTTTTTCATTAGATTCTTATGAATCTTAACAAAGAAACAAAGTTAGTCGGTTGCTCTGTGGTTACCACAAGTATTCCAACAAAATTCCAAAAATGGGAATAAAAAACTTAATATAAAATCGATTTCTTATTTTTTTAAAAATATTTTCTTAAATATAAATTTTCTTAAATATTCTTCAGTGAGGGCCGATTTAAAAACAAGCATAGCTGCTATATTGCTAAATTAATGTACACAGAGGCATAGCGGATGTTTTCATTACTTGTTATACAGCTCAAAATTAGCATGGCAAACCAGCCGACAGAAAGCGAGACGAAAGCCGTTAAGTAAAAAACAATATATGACCAAAAAAACTAATCTACCCCAAATGTTCCATGTGTCTGTCTAGAGTTGTCTTTAAAAAATTCATTTGAGAAAAACATGCATACCTAAAAAATTGAGGGTTAAATTGGCAATTTATTCCAAGTTGGAGTTGGCAAATTTACACAAAACAGGAAACCTTTCGAAAAAAAACTGGTATGTCAAATGCAGATAGTTCAAATATGTGTTGATTGGCAGAGGTAAAGATTCGCGACTTAACGGCACAAAATTTGTGGGCGCGGAAAAGAAACTGTTGAAGTGAATCCATACTTGGAATCAGTAGGCTCACAGCCGTTTAGAACAAAAAGGCGTAAAGAGGAAAAACAATCCACCTAGTGCGCCACATCATGGTGGCTTATGGAAGGGTCTGGTAAGGTCCTGCAAGGGTGCATTCTACTCGATACTTGGAACCCGCAAACTAGCGCCAGAAGTACTCGACGCACATTTCTGCTCGTTCGAGCAATCTTTAAATGAGCGACCACTGACTCCAGTAAACAGTGATCCGGATAGCTTAGAAGCTATTACGCCTTACCACTTCCTGCTTAGTCAGGCAAGTGCGAAATCCCTTTCCTTGAGATTTGAGGAAAAGTTCAACGATAGAAAACAGTTCGTGAGCCGGCATATTCAATTGCAATATGGTCACGATGGCTAAGCGAGTATGTACCAGGTCTCAATAAGCGAGCCGAGCGGCACTCCTCTCCAGAACGGGGACTCAAGACAGGCGATTTAGTGTGGTTAATAGAGTTCACCAGTCACCGAGGTTATTATCTTTTAGCTCGCTTTAGAACACTCAACTTCGGAAAAGACGGAGTTGCCCGATATCTGCCGTACTAAAAACTTTGAATGGCGATGTTACCCATCCGGTAGTAAAACTCGCGCCCGGTCTCGCTTCCTTGGGAGCGGAGGATGTTGCCACGCAAATAACCTTCCATAAACCAGAATATAAAAGCAAGTAAATTGAACAAGATAAGGACCAGTTGGCCGAGCAGTCTGGAACAAAGCCTACGGTTCGGCGAAGGTTCGAGCCCCCCCCCAAAAAAAAAAAACAATTTTTTTTACCCGAACCAAAACGTATTATTATCAGTTTTAGCTATAAAAAGATATTTTTTCGTTTATAACGACAAATTCTGCAATTTATGCAGTTTCCAGAATTAATTCAATTTTGGTTATATCTTTGTTGTTTTAGTATAAATATTTTAGAGTTTTGAGCTGAGCGCGGTCACGACTGAAAAACGGAACAATTTTAAACTTTGCTTCTCGATACTGAGACACCATTTTTTTTGCTTTTTTGGAGTCCAAATCAGGAACATTAGAACTTTTTATATGATACCACAGATCGCCAACGAGTTTCATTTAAGGTCCATAAAACTGGACGGAAATAACTAGAGCGAATCCATAGTTCCTTCCTTTTACTTCTCGAAAAGTGTTAAGCTTTTTCTGTTTTCAGCGGGTTAAATATTTACTTAACAAGATAAGAATCTGGTTTTTGACATCTTTAGCCAAAAACATTGACGAGTCATCTCGTTTCTCAGATTCATTAAAAATTATGATGACATTTCTGGGGCCACAAAAAGTAGATTTTAAATTTATTCTGCTGAACATTTGCAATAATGGGATGTGGTGACTCACTTAACGGCCATCCATGCATGAAGTCTAAGGAGCACAAATAGCCCGCAATTATAGGAGAGAAAATATTCCCGATGTCAGCGGCACCACCAACCAAGGCCGAGTAGAAACTCCTCTCGAACTCGGGCACCCAAACGCCCATCAGATGATTCATCGAAGTGAACACTAAGCCCTGTAAAATTCCCATGAGGAATCGAAGTGCACATAATTCGTACACCCCAATAAACGCAAAAGTCGGAGTTAAGAAGGTACAAATTCCAGTTCCCACAACGCCAATTGCAAAAGATAGTTTGCCTCCAAATTTGCTAGCTATGATTCCGGATGGGAATTGTGTGAGGCCAGAGCCGTAGAAGAAAGACGACAGAACGTATCCTTGTTCTTTAACTGTCCAGTTAAATGTACCTAAAACACAAATTTGCAAAAAAAAATATTGAAATTTTCGCAAAACTTCCAATGTCATGATTTTTCAGACTGTCATGATAATTACGTCTTAAAAGAGTTTAACTCATGCTAATAGAAATTCACTGGATAAAATGCATGCTGCTTCAATAAGTACGCAAAACAATTTGGCACATAAAAGTCAGAGAATGATATGTCTTGATTACAATAGTTTAAACGTTGAATGGTAATATAACACATGCATTGCCCGCTTGTATAATCGATCGATCGAGGAAATATCAACGGTCAAAAAAGATAAACGAATTTACATTTTTGAGTATACTATGATTTTCATTTCGAAGAAAAAAGAACTTGAGTTGTTGTTCGTCGTAGGACGTCAGCAGGCTGGCCACTATTTTCTCAAAAATATATAGACCTCAAGTGACTATGACAATTTTCGAAGTTTTTTGTCGACCTTTTTTTTTAGGTCGACCAAATTAATTTTTCAAGCTCTGCCAAAGCACTGAAAAGTCCCTGCCCTGTTTTGGCCAAAATTTCTGCGCCGCAGGCATAATTTTGAAAAAAACTGCGTTTTTTCGGCCCGTGCTTTTTAAAAATTTTAACCACCAAAAACGGTTTCACCAAAAACGGATGTCTCAAAACTGTTTTTTAAAAATTTTAAAAAACAGAAGCTTTGTTGTAAATAGTGACTTTTACATGGTCTCTAGAAAATATAGACTTCCAAAAAATTATAGACCAAATAATGACTTTTATAGACCAGTCTATAAATATAGACCAAGTGGCCAGCCTGGACACACTTAGTCGACAGGAAGGAACTATGGATTAGCTAGTTTTATTTCATCAATTTTCGGTAAGTTGATGGAAATTCACAGTGGTTCAGAGTTGATATCATATTAAAGACTTAGTGGTCGTGATTCGGATTCCAAATTGAATCAAAAAAATTCTCAGTGTCGAAAATATTTGGTAGAACATTTTCCTATTTTCAAAATGTCATGAAATTTACAATTTACTTGATGAGCTCTTAGCTCAATTGAAACCTCATTTTAATGAGCTATTAACTTAGTTTTATGCTAAGTACACATTAATTTTGCTGTTACCTTGCCTCTTTAATCTGAGTTCTTTAATAACGCCCTTTACTGAAAACCGAAAAAAATGGTAAAAACTTTTTGCAAATTTTTGATTCAGCATAGCGCAAATCATTCTGATATTGAAAATTAATCTAAGCAAACTTTAACTAACAAAAATCAACCCATATTTTGCGCATGGTGAGATAAGGTCACACAAAAAAGGCAAAAATGATTAAAGTTTGGTTATTTAGAAGTTTGATGTTACTCGTATCAAGTTTGTACAATTAAAAGTATATACAGCAAATTTCAAAGAATCAATTTCAGAGAGCTGTTAATCCACCATTAGACAATTTTTCCCAGCAATATTGAAAACTTATTTTTGTTCGGATACAAATGCAAAAAAAACATTTATGCTAGTATGAAAAATTAAAAAGTCAAAAGTTTGATCCGACAACCTAACGAAGTGGGAAGTAACTTTGAGATAACTTATGTCGACTTTCTCAAAAAAACTTCATAGGGATTAAGGACGCTGTCTTATTACACTCCATTCAAACGTGATTCGGATTTTAAAAACAGAAACGTGGTTTCCGTTTTGAGAAAAAATGGTAAAAAAATTTCCGTTTTTCAGGCTATTGGAACTCACAATTTGTTTCTCCTGCAGTTCATATATTAGTTTAGCTAGTAAATTGTCTCAATAAACTAACTAGATTTCTTTTTACTGGAAAAAGAACAACAGTAGAAAAATGAAAATATATATTTTTTGGGTTCTCTTTTCCAATCATTGTGGTCGGACAGCAGCAGGCTATCCGGAAAAATATTTCAATTTACTATCACTTCAAAAATTAGGAGCAAGATTTAACATAACAAGAGCAGCCAGTTGCTATGCAAGCATTCATAATATTCCGATGACGTTGTTTTTTGGAAGGAAAATGAAAAAAAAAAGAAAAACCCATCTTTTCCAAAAACTCATTTTACTTACAAGAAAAATGAGGGTTTAATCTCAAACTTTTTCCGAGTGAAATTTTTTGAAAAAATTTTAGAATTTTTTTTTGTTCTGTGAGTTTTTTTAAACACTTGGATGTGAAATCACGACTGAAACATGCTACTCTTGAATTTGCTATGAAATATGAATGAAAAGCCCACTCTAGGCTATACTTCGCTTTCATCTTTTGGCTGTAGCAGCTGATACTTCAAAAACACTCAAAATGTCTAAAATTTTAAGATAGCGAAAAAGAAAAAAAAGAGAAAAAAACATTGCCGGTCGGCCAAATTTTTTATATCTTTATCTCGAATGAAATTGAGAAAAAACGTATAAAAAGGATCATTGTCAGCAATTAATTTGCAGAAGCAAAGAAAATGAATCGATAAGTAATCCGACAAAATGAATCGATAAGTAACCCGACAAAAAATGGTTAGACGCCCGTTGAGTCCAAAAAAACTGAAAAAATAATTTGATAGAAAACGTGATTCAAATTCGAATCTTCCAACCTAAGAGTCATTTTTGGTAACTAGTTAATTATGAAGTCAAGATTTCCGCAAAGTTTTCTTTGAACCAAGCAGTAAAATGCTTTAAAAAGTCGATTTGAAGTTGCCGAATAGCAGATAAAAAGCATGAAAAAATTGTTTTAAAAAAAGAACACAAGAATAGAATAAGTGTCAACTTGCCTTGAGAATATGGACCGATCTTATACCTCTTAGACATTTTCGATAGTCATAGTAAAATACGCAAAATGCAAAAAAATTTTGTAGAAAAATAAGTCGAAAATTCAGAAAAAAATATAAAAAAATGAAAATTTATTCATTTTTTTAAGCAGTTTTTTGAACTTTTGAAGTTTTTGATTCCAAAAGGGCGCTAAAATCCTCAAATAACTAACTTTACTCGAGTGAAACTAAATTTTCACCGTTTAAATTAAGCTGTAAAAAATTTCAAAATCCAAAATTTCAAACCGGTTTTTCTCGACACTGGTAAGACTTTTTCGAAATTTTCAAAGTCGTTCAAATCATGACTGAAAAGGCTTTAATAGAATATATCACTCAACTCTCCACGATGAATATTTATGTTGGTTGATTTTGCGTGGAAAACAAAAAACTAAAAATCTAAAACACACCCGTATACAAAGTTCCTCCCCATTTTTTCATTGGTATTCATAGTAAATCCCTCGAAGTCGTAATTTCAAGTATTTCCAAAACATCACTTGAAACTAGTCGGAATTTTTTTCCGTTATAGTCTAAAATCCTGCAAGTAAAGCTAGTGAGTAACGTTAGATAGATATTAATCAGCTACTTAAGCCGCGGAAAAATTAGTTTTACTTCAAGAAGTTAATGCTATCAAAATTTAATTTAGCGCCTCTTAGTCAAAACAATCTTTAAAAACTGCTCTTTTAAAATCGTGCCGGAAATAAGATTAAGCTTTTATTTCGACCGATTGTATGTTTTTGATTTTTTCTTTTGTGTTGAGCGAACAAAGCTAGCGAGCAGGATAATTTGCTTATTTCGAGCCAATTAATAAAGCATTTTGAGCCTAATTTTAGTTTCACTCGTGTAAAATTAGTTTGAATTGCGAACACAAAAAATTTTACCAAAAAAAATAAAAAAATTATTAATTTTTTTTGATTTTTTTTTGTTTTTCCAATCATTTTTCTAATAAACTTTGGTGTCCAATATGCTTATTTTTACTTTTCGAGTCGAATATGCCTCAGCTCTAACCTTTCCTTGAGATCCTTTTATCGCACCACGCAGAAAAAAACAACACTGTTTTGAAAATGCTTTTTCGTTGTATTTTTTAGAGATTATGGTGGGAGCATTCTGTGCTACTTGCACAGTAACCAGCTATACTTATGTTTCTTTGTGATTAGTTTTTGAAAAAAAGTAGTGTTTTCGTGAATAATTGACTCTAGCATTCCTTTTTTCAACTTTTATTTATTCGGATACACTACGCACAAAAAGCAAGTATTTGGAGAAAAAAGGACAATTGGATCCCAGTTGTTCCGACCATTGAAAATGGGGAGTAATTTTGTATTCGTACGAAGTCTTTTGTTTCCTTTCATTTTGCACACAAAAACAGGTATCAAAACTAATAATCGGAATGGGTTGGGTGATATTTCATATTAAAGCCCTTTCAACTTCGAGCGAATAAGGTGAGCGAGCAGGCTTTTTTGTTTTTCGCCTAAACGCATTTACCCTAAATAATCATCGTAAATGGTTGAGTGAAGTATCATATCATTAATTGTTTATGCAGGATAAAAATGTTTATTCAATTGAATCATTTAACTCAGAATTCGCGGGTAAAAGTTTGAGAAAACAAAATAACTTTCCATAAAACGATCAAAATCTGAAAAATTTATTTCAAACTGTTATTTCAAATGAATCTTTAATCGTAAAATTGGCAGATTAGTTTCAGAGAACAGGCAAGAAAATTTCAAAAGTTTAAATTTTGCCTTTTCCGAAAACCTAATTTTTTCTAATGAAAGTAAGGCGTCGCCAATTATTTTTTGATTGATTCTTTAATTCCAGGTTTGTGAAGGTTCCTTTTTGGCGAAAAAGTTTGAAACAATGAACAAAATTTCAAAAAAAAGCTTTTTTGAGACCATATATTTTTCTATTCAAATAAGGTCGTAGCCGATTATACACAAAAAATCCCTAGTACCTGTACTTTCCACTGAAATTTATATCTCAGATTTAGAGTTTTTGTCTCCGAAAAAAAACACAAAAACTTAAGAAAATGATACAAACATTATCCCGTTGAACCTTTCGAAAGAAGTTGAAAGGGGAAGTTATATTAAAGACTAGGGAAACAGGCAGACACACAATGCGGGAGCCGTTCTTTTAGTTGATACCAGTTTTTGAAAATCTGTTAATTAGTTGCTGAGAAAAACCAAAATTTTAGCTAAGTGAAAGAAAAACTTTCCAAAAACGTCTAAAAAAATTAAGTAAAAAATTCTAATATAATTTTATAATACAGTCAAATCTCGATTTAGCGGACTGCCGATTTAACGTAAACCTCGGTTTTACGTAATTCTTTTTCCGGTCCCAAACTTTTCCCATAGTAAAACCTTCATTTTACGTAGTTTTGATTTAACGTATAACCTTGGTATTACGTAACTGCTGCATCGGACCAAAACTAATGTTTGCAATGAAAATAAACCTTTATTTAACGTCACTCTTCAGCAAGCGAACCTTTCGCTGAACCAGAAAATGACAAAGAAAATGATGTTTTTTGGTGGAATCTGGAAATGAAGCACCGGCGACTCAGGAGTTTACTGTTTCCGGGCTCCAAACAGTTCATCAAAGCATCGAAGTTTTGCGATTATTTTGATACTTATGTATGCACCACCCATGAATGATGAACAAAATTCATTTAAAACGCCTTTTTTTCAAACCTTTAATTAACGTAGACCTAGATTTTACGTATTATTTTTGACCGCCCAAACAGGTACGTTAAATCGAGATTTGACTGTACCTCAATTTGTCAAATAGTATTTTTTTGCCCTCCGCAATATAAGCTGACAAAGCCGATAAAACTTAGGCTTAAACGGTTCTATCCAGAAAGAAAAAATGAAAAAAATTCATCAAAATCAGATTTGGTAACAGGACAAATGACAGAACTTTCGATTATAATTTAAAAAATTTAGAACGAAAAACCTATGCTTTACGGAGTACAAAGCATAAAAAACAGTTCAAGAGAAAAACAGTACAAGCAAGAAAAAAGTAAAGTAGTTTTTTTAAGAATATGGTCGGAACATTCTGTGCTACCATCACAGAAACTGACTATCCTTTTTTTAGGCGAACCTGTTTATCTCTGCTTTTTTCCCTCCTTTCAGGATCAGTTACTGTTGATAAAAATAGGACCTTTTTCTTAATCGAAATCAGCTCTAGAGTTCCAAAAATGCAATAAGAAAAATTAAAAATAAATCTCGGACTCGCACCTACGACCTGCTGCGACCTAGAAATTATGAGTCTCACACATTATCCACTCAGTCATAGACGCTTAGTCCATCAAAAACACAAGCCACAAATAAAACCGAGAACAGATGCATAAAATTTCCAATGCTCCAGATCGTGATAACAAAAAGGCACACAAGTGAACACTTTTAATAAGCAATTACATCTGCGAGTTAGGCTAGAAAAAAAGATGGTTCTTACTAAAACATTAGCTGCTCGATGGCATAATTAAACACAGAGTCGAAGTTGCACTTCGCATACGCAAGCAAAAATATGACCGACAACGCTACTGAGAAAAACTGATTGAGTAAAATTTTGAATCTACAAAATTTCTTTAGTGACGCACGCCAATTATGGGTCTACATAATTGCTAAGTGAAGCAAGCCAATTATGTCGATACAGAACCATAACTAACACCTTGCAGCTAAAGTGGTATTTTTAATACAACAGTGTGTGTTAATATTCTTAGCATTTGCTGTACTTAATCGCTGGTTATTGATCTTATGCATACACTGCAATAAAAGAGCACTTTAAAAAATAGCACTAACATTTGCGACTTAGTTGGAAAAAAAGAAAGTTCGTAATAACACACAAGCTTTGCTAGTGTAAAGAGTACAAAAATTTTACACAGATGCGAAGTTGCACTTCGCATACAAGCAAAATATGACCGATAATGCTACTGGGAAAAGCTGAATGAGAATAACTTCCAGACTGCAAAATTTCTTAAGTGACGCACGCCAATTATGAGTCTAGATAGTTGCTATATGACGCATGCCAATTATGACGCGTTAGCAGTAACAGTCAATTTGAAAAAAAAAAAGAAATCTACCAACTAACATGCCTCAATTTATACAGCGGACGTATTTTACTAGTATACGAAAAATTTCATTAAAAACATCCGATCCTGCCCAGGTTTGAAACCTCTTATTTTGTTGCTGGTCTCCTTCCCTACCTCTACGCTACAGATCTATGATACCTTGAAGCTAAAGCGCAATTTGTAATATAATAGTTTATGTTAATATCCTTAGCATCGGCTGTACCTAATAGCTGGATCAAAATGAACACTTTCAAAATGAACTTTTTGTCACAACAATAGCCTCGCAGCAATATTTGCGACTTAGGTTGGAAAAAAAAGAAAGTTCATAGTATAACACAAGCTATGCTTGTGTTATCAACTATAACTGCTATCCGAACTTGCTTTACTCTTTTTTAAAGCGACCGATTATTTTTTAATACTTAGGGGTTACTCAACTAACTATTAGAATTACAAAGCATGTTTTGAAAAGGAGTCAAAATTCTTTTGGGTTTAAAGGTGGCGTAGATATATCCAGGATATATATTAGGTAAGCTGATGTAACAAAAATGATTCCAAACTAGAAGGCGTTAACTAACCTGCAGAAGCGTTGGATCCAATGGCCGATTAAACTGCTGTTTAACATTTTTATTCAGAACATGTGCTTAGTCTCAAGTGATTTTGATTCGTCTTCAGGCCTTGACATTTATCTTGGTCACTTACCTTTCTCCAAGTGACCAGGAATCAGTTCTGCTGTCGAATTGTGATGCAAGGGGCAATTTTCATTAACAGCGTTAGTTTCTGGTATCTGAACTACCATGGCATTAATAGCCACGCTCAGAATAATACGGGATGAATAAGCAAGGAAATATCCAACCATTCCCGCGTATGCAATGCAATTTCGGGTGGAAAAGAATGAATTATAACTTAGTTCCAAAGATTGCCCTATGTCGCCAGAACTCTCGCCTAGTAAGGTATCCGTTTCACACTTCGACGATGCTTTCGACATCGCTCGATACCTAGCTAAGGAAGTTTCGGTTGTGAAATGACTGAACAAAACTCACAAAAATTTATCAAACTATCTCATGTCAGATTGCTAATTTAAATACAATTACACTTTTTGGCAATCAAGCGTATAATATACCTTAAACTTCTATAAATATCATCCCAATAAGCCCGAAAACAAAGATGAAAGCTTGAAGATCAGTTGTTTATTGCCCTTGGTTGGGCTAATATGCTCATATTCAATAATTACACTGAATAATTATTGCATAACATTCGAGGGTCGAGGTAAAGGATATCCGGCTCGGAAAGTTTTTTTAAGATAGTGAGTCCACCAACTTGTTTAGAAAGTTCACTAACTTGTTCGAAAATCCTTCAAACTTTTTTAAAAACTGTCAAAGTGATCAAATATTTTCAATGGTGTTCATAAGTTTTCTCTCAACCTCATTCACCGCAATAAAACAGAAAAGAAGCTAAATTAGTTTAGATATATCATTTTAAAAGTACTGCATAATAAACAATGATTATTTAAATAAGTTTTGCGATCTACAGAAAGTTACAATTTTAAAAGAATCCAGAAAAGCGAATCGAGTTCAATTGACTTTTCGGATGATTTGCAACAGTCCGATGACAGAAGATACAATTCCAGACAATGCGCCTATTTCACTTTTCAGGTATCCCAAATTACTCAACGGACAGGTAAGGTCCAAAATATCCTTGCAAAGGTTCAATCTTGATTCTGATATTTGAGAAGAACCTTTTGAAGAACAGGGCGTATTTAGGTCAAATTTTCGAAATGTGGCCCCAGTTGCTGCATTTACGTCATTGGAGCGTCGCGACGCTATCTGAGCAAAAACATGCAGTGGTTTCATTGTCCCACATAACAGCTTAAAGTGACGCATATTCTTGGCCAGGCTCAGGAATATTGCAAAAAACCATAACCTATTGACCCATAGTGAAAGCCCATCGGAAATATGGGCGACTTTAATCTTCTGGAATAAATTTAAATGGTCGGCTGATAGGTGAACAAATTTTGCAGAGTGTGAAATTACAGACCAAACTCTCAGACTGTCATCGGCAATAGCAAGTGCATCTAATGCGCACATAAGGGACTCAAAATTATTTCCGAATGAGAAAACATTTCTTGAGACAGAAATTGCGCTTTCTAAGTTAGCTAGACGTTGCAGGAATTTCTCCAAGACGGATGCCAAGCTGTGTTTTGAGAGTAGTTTCGAGGCGAGCCGTATTGTGTATTGGAGGAGTCTAAGGGCTTTGTCCTTGCCACTGTTTGAGTGCTGAATTGCGTTGACGTATCTAATCAACACACCTGCGCTTACTGACTCAATCATACTGCTTTACAAGGACACGCAATGGTTATTCTTCGCTTCCAAAAAATTTACATGGAGAAATCCATTTCCAATCTGAAAGTTTTAGATGATACTTTTCGAAAGTTCGTGAATTTAATGCGCGCATACATTAGACCACTCGATCCAGTCATATCTTTACGCAGGTTTTTTTTAGTTTGATACACACGGCCTTGAAATGTCAATGAACTATAAAAAATCTAGATTTTTTAGTTACTCACGGCCTTGAAATGTCAATGAACTATAAAAAATCGAGATTTAGAGTTTCACTGAAATTTTTAAGTTTCAAAGAAAAAAATTATCACCTGATAGCTTTGTAAATTTCCAAAATTGAATGATAGTTTCTTATAAGAAAAATAGCATAGCAGCTATTCGAAAGAAAAAAGACGAAAACGCCGATGAGTCAACAATTTCCGACAGAGACAGTTTTTAAGCGAAAAAAAAAACAAAAACAGCTAAAGATACAAAGACAAAGCAAATAAAATTAAAAATTGCAGGAATATTTCAAAATACTGAAAGCAACTACAATGAAAGTTTCGTACGAAAATCAATTATACGCTGAGGCAACTAAGCCGACAAATTATAGGCCGACATTAGTTGGGAAAGGAGTATTTCAAGTTTGAGAAAAAAAACAGTACCTGGTCAGATTTGAACCCACGACTTTTGCCGTCCGAGGCTTACTCTTCACCTCCAGGCTAAGTGAAGTACACGCATAGAAGTTTGAATTCATTTTAAACCCAGATGATACAAGTGATTCTGTTAAACATGTTAACCAGAAAAAAAAGGTCACGACTGAAATTAAAAATGAGGACAGCATTAGAAACAAAACTGCTAGTTATAAATTGATAATAAAAACAGGCGAAGCTGAACTTCGCACCACTTGCGGTACAAAACAAGATTTTTTTCAGAAATTTTTTTTCTAAATCGAGGTCGGAAAAAAATATATTAAAATGAATAAGACTAGTTTTGAAACAAAATCATGCCTAGATAATAGAATGTGCAATAAGCATCGGAAGATAATGTTCCCCGCGGTAATAAAGATAAAAATACTTTGACAGAAACCTTACAAGCTATAAAAAAAAATTTCTGACTTCTGAAAAGTAAATAAAACCACCTCACCTCAAAACACTTTATTTGCTCGTCAAATGAAACAATATGAGGCCACTAAGCCGATATAATATAGGCAGAATCCTATTGAGCCTAGAAAATTTAAATATAAAAAGCCGAATAAATTTTAAAGACTATTTCTTATTTCTGATTAACTACCTTTTTGACAATTTGATGTGGAGCTTTAGGTTTTTTTTAATACTCTGCACAAAAAATTTACCTTAGACTTACAAACAACCAGAATCCAAATGAAAATTTAACGTACTCACTGGTAGAATCTGGTCCGAAATTTCCACATTTTTGTTATCTGAACCAGGTTACCAATGGCTTCAAAATTATTTTTTTTGGACACTATCTTCAATCAAACAGTTCAGTTATGGTCAAACTTGTTGCTCTCACACATATTTTGAAGTCCTTTTGTAGGGAAATTCAAACAATCTTACAAATTGTTTGGTTGTGTTACTTTCTTTCTCCAGTATATTTTGAAATTTTTCCTGAAAAACAAGCAAACATTGTAGCATTGAAAATTTACAGCTATTTTGTTTGGCTTGTCCCCAAGACAGCACATTTGCAATTTTTTTAGTCAACGTGGTGCAATGGGATGCTGAGACAAAAAAAAATTCTCAGAGAAGTATTTGATCAACCAAAACTAACTCGAAGCAAGAATAGCTAGTTGCTGTAGAAGTAGCACAGAAGTTCCGACATAAATTTAAAAATTTTCGTTCCCGACGCGATGAGAGAAAAAGATGTGAACAAATTTTGAGCATAGATAGAACCGTCGAAAAAAGAACGACACGAGTTGTAGTCGAAAAATATAACGAAAAAAACAATACTTTCTAAAACAATACTTTGCAAGAATTTTGAGAAACAAAAAAAATTCCGAGAAAAAACCAGAAGTTTTGCAGAATCAAAAAAACTTAATTTTAAAAGAAACTAAAATCCACACCACGAAAAATCACATTCGAGCGTGAACAAATTTTACCATGTTTTCCTGAAAATAAAATGAAAGAAATCACCACAACTTGAATAACTGACTTCTATTAGTTCATAATCACCTAAAAACATCAAAAATAAAGTGCCGATGTCACTTTTAACACGGTAACCGACTTAATCTACTTGAGAATGAAACCATGTTATGGCGACTGCTTCGTTTCTTATAGAATTGGTAGTCAAAGCCTAAATGGTAAATGGATCCACGCGTTTAATTTCAATCCGAAAATTAAAATGATTATACTTAACAAATGCAACTAACAGAAACTCAATGGGCCGCTTTATACAGGCAAAACTAATCCGATTTAAGAAACCCGAAACAAAAGCCAATTCTTCCTATTAAATCTTCAAAGAAAAATAAATATATCTTTTTTAAAACAAAAAGTCAAGCACATCTGCTTTTTATCCTTATCACTTCCACAACTAGAAAATTCCTAGCATTTGGATTGAAATATGGGATAAAAGGATTTATACTTCTTTTGAACTTCTGATTACTTTCTATTTTTTCCGCCTAAATCGATTTTCTTTTTTTTGGGGGGGGGGGGGGGTGTGTTGTAAATTCATCCTACAGTTTGCTTTTTTGTTACAACTGGAGCGTTATTTGCTCTCCTTTCAGCAAATGAATTTGAATTGAACGAAACAAAAAATTTATAGTTGAACCGCAAAAGACTAAGTTTTCACGTGAACATTTTTTAGACACTCCTTGAAAAAAAAACAAGACTGCTCGTATATCAGGGCGAAGACCTGAGTGTTCCGAGTGCACTTTAAGGCCAATTTAAAAGTTTTTTGGTTAACATAATAAAAACAATTATTTATTCATTTTTTTCTTCTATTTATCCCCGCAAACTCTAATGCTAACTACGAAGGGATGTATTTAGCGTCTTGTATCTTAATAATAAGACCAAATATTTTGCCTCAATTCAATTGGGACGCATCAATACGCTGCTTAAGCGTGTAATAAGAATACAATAACTCGCACGTTAATTATTTCAAATTAACCGAATTAGCAGTTTTCAAACCCTAAAATTTTACACAAAATAATCAAACGTGAAATATCTTTTTGAATATGAGCTCAGAATAACAGTGCCTTTCAGATGGTTTATACAAAATCCGGCAAAAATGCTGTAAAAAACGAAAACTGACTAATTAAAAAATCACCACAAGCATAAATATTTCGCAATACCTTCGAAAGTCAAAACAACAATTAAAAAACATCACTAACTACTGGGAAAAAAACATTATAGAAAAAACACGATCTAAAACATTACAATTGGTGATTTCATTTCGCTTAATGAAACTTAAATCTTTTTCAGCACGTTCGAAATACTTTGTCGTTATGCACTACCGACTGAACTAAATATGCTCTGTGCACTAAATATGCTATACTGTCTGAGCTTCACAGCCTCAAGGAGTTCCAAAATAGGAGGCGCTTCGTCAGAAGTAGAAAAATATTACGTTTTTTCTTATCCGCCCGAAAGTAATGAATACACTTAATAGATATTCACTAATTTTTCATGACAGAAAAGAGCTCAGGATGTAAAGAGCTGTTTTTCAGATAATTGAGCGGTCCTCAACGTGAGCGGTATGTAAAATAAGCAAGCACATGATTCTTAGTATCCTTGTAGTAAAAATTATCCTTTGAAAAACATTTCCGAACAAATTGAATTGTCGATTTAACGGTTGAAGGAATGTAATTAAATAAGATTTGGATTGAGGGGTTTACGAACATTATACAATGGTCAATGAAGCTTAAAATTGTAACATTAGGAGTTTGGGTTTGTACATTTTAAATAAAGTTTAGTTGAAGAAGTTTTCAGATAAAAAAAATTAGGTGCGTGCGGCTAAATTGTTACCAGCAACGGTTAAAATTAAAGGCAATAATTGAATCATCTTTTAATATGATTTATATAAGTTATTGAAAATGTTTAATTTACAGCGCAAGGGTAAAACTATTGACATCTATATTTCAATTTTAGCGCGACAACGTGACAAGTTGTGACATCGTGACTATGCATTGCAGATATGGCTTCGGAATTAAATATGACTCTAATGAGATAGTGTGATGATGTGTATAGACAGCACAGAATGTATAGATGGTATTGCAACAGCACAATGATGACTAACTCTAATCGTGTTGATTCATTCAAGTACTTGGGTATTTCTTATTTAGCCCCGCGTCCAAAATAACTATTTCAACATGTTCATACTCTAGAATTTTATACCCTTTTTCGAAATCTTAGTCTCAAAACCCTACGAGGGTTTTCTTGCAAAATACCTGCAACTTCAATTGCTTCGTTGCAAAAAGTCAATTCTCCGATATTTTCGGATCCAAAAAATCAACAAGCTCAAGCTAGGAGCGTTGGAGTTATATTAAGAGAAATGAAGGATTTTCGAACATTTACAGAGCATTTGCTTCAGTAGCGGAGGGACGCCCCCCTCAGGGATTATTTTTTATTTCGAGATAGGTCCCCCCTTTGTTTTATTATTTTATTATATCAATTTGTGGCTGATGTACCCAACAAAAATTTAAATATTCTACATTTGAGGGGGAGCGCGCGCATTTGAGGGGGATAAGCAATTTTTTTTGTCATAACTTACCAAAAAGCGCCTAAAAACGCCTTTTTTGGCCTGTTTTCTTCCCCATAATTTTGCCTGAGATGCAGAAAATTTGGCCGAAACGGGTGTTTTTATAGCTTTGGGAGAGCTCGGAAAATCAATTTAGTCAACCTAAAAAAAGGTCTTGATCCGCCGCTGATTTGAGTAACTTCGCATAATTTGGAATACACAAATTTGTAAAACTGAACGGAAAAGCACTTGAACAAAAGTTAAGCATAATAATTTTGTTTGGCACTGCAGTTTCAGAAAATATAGAAGAAAAAAACACCTGTAATGCAGCGAGAAATAAGATTTCAATGTTTTGCGCAATTTGCAATTTCGCCAATCGAAATGATGAAGCACTATTCGGATCGCTTCATGTAATTTGCCAATTGTCAATGACAATATAGACTAGTTCATTAAGCCCTAATTTATAAATAAATGTGCAGTAAGTTTTGTTTGTTGTAACCAATACAGTAACTTGAACCTACAACTGTTTCCATCTGTCAATTTATACCACTATTTGAAGAAATCTGCCCTAACTTGACCTTGTTTGATAGCCTCTTTGACATAACCGGGTCCTCCGTAATATGCCCAGACATCCTCGAAATCCTTACTCAGAACTTCAGCTCCTTTCTTAGTAGTCAACCCTGTCTCGGCTAATTGCAACTCGCACATTCGCATATCGTCTTTACCCGCCACCAGAAGAATCGGAGGTTTGTTCGGGTGAAGTTCCAACTGCCTGGCAACCCAGTCACCATCAAAGTGTGCAAACCACCATCCCTTTTGTCGAAACTGGGGATCCTTGCCGACATCGCAGGGTCTGATGAATGGCACTCTAAAAAACCTCTGAACCTTTGCAGTTTTGCCATTTGGACTTTGATCTTTCTTGCCAGGTGCTGCATTTACCAAAGCACTCGAACTTTGCTGTTGCTTTACATGGTCTACCACATCTTTGGGAGCTCGTTGTTCGTCTTGATCAGACGTTTGGGATCCATTCTGAGCAGGTGTGTTCGAAGCAGCAGCAGACTGCGTTTTACGAGCCTGATTTGCTTTCCAGTTGTGATACACTTTTAACCTCCGGTGAAACTCTTCCCTGCACGACTCAAGCAGTTCTATGTCTGAAACATACGTCTTCAAAGAAACACCCAAAAATTAGATAAATTTTGAAAAATGAATATCCTGGAAATCATGACCAATAAATAGCAAATTCTAAATCAGACATACCACATGAGGTGTTGATAGTATCTCGAAGCTCCGCGTACGTGTAGCTGCTCAAGTCATACTTTTTGAAGGCCGATTCAAATCGCCTACTCATTTCGCCTGTTCCTCTGAAACACGATATTTAGCTACATCCAATAGCTTAAATTTTTGTAGTAAAATATTATATTCTTTGGACACCACCGCATTAGTGAAGCTCACCAAGACCCAAAACATATGGTTACAGCACAAATGAAAGTGGTTAACAAAGCCAGGCTAAAAAGGTGAAGTTAGTTTCAATCAGTTAGATCACCTAGTCAATTTTAGTATTTACCGCATTGCTTCTAGTTGACTGAAATGAACATAACTGTTACCATTTAAAACGCTTTTTTCTCAAATTGGGTTGATTAAAGACAAAAATACGATGAAGATAAAATGAATATCCATCATTTTATATAGTTAAAAACATTTTTTGGCTATTAAACGAAAAAAATAATATATATGATTTGGGAGGATTATATCAGCACTGGAACCGATAGATAAGGCGTGAAGAACTTCGATTGACTAAGAAATCTAAAATTAATTTTTTTTGGGAGTGGGGGAGGGCTAAATTCTCGGCTCGACAACTATCCGACAGACAATGAGACAAAAATCTAAAACATAGCCAACTGACAGTTGGAAAAAAGTAATGAACGCAAAAAAAAACAAAAAACAATTTGTTTTTTCAAAAATTTTCAATTTTTGATTTTCAAAGAAAAAAACAGATATAAAACTCTTTGAATTTAAAGAACAATTTATGATGGACACTTTTTGTTTGAATTAACCCAATTTGAGAAAACTGGATCAATAGGTAAAACTTCTATTTCGCTGCGAAATCTTATAATTAATTTCCATTTTCGAACTTAGAAGTCAATGACGTTTTTCGTGACCTTTTCAATTTTGCTGTTCGATAGTGGAGTGTGCCTTCCTTTTAAAAATAGAAATTCACTGAACAATGGTGAAAAGAAATCACCAGTCAAACCGCGAAAAATCAAATTTGAGCATTAACAAATTTTAAGACTTTTTCCTAAAAAAAAAACAAAACACAACAAAACATCAGGAAGACCTATATAAGAATAATACTCACTACGTTCATGAATCTTAAAAATAACCATCCAAAAGTCGGAAAAATGTCAATGAAATCAAAGAAAATGAAAAAAAAAAAGAATTATGAAAAACTTTGAATTTTCGAAATTCGAAGGAAAAAAATACACCATATGAAACAAAACTGGGTCAATACTTAAAAGGTAATTTTTATTCAGCTGTGATAGGTATACCCTAAGATCCAATTTCGAACTTAAAAATTTTTCATTCACGTTTTTTCTTGCCATTTCCGCTGTCGTATATGAAGAGCTAAATTTGTCTTTTGTTTTCCCTTTAGCAAATGAATTGAAGCTGATATTGACAAAAGTTAAGCAAAGAAGGATCAAATTTGAGCGTGATCAAGTTTTCAGACTTCTTCCTGAAAAACCACACGACCCAAATAAATGTCTTCATTTAGTTTCCTAATCTGACAAAATTTGCTAGTCTGAAAAAAGTCTATGTTCGTACTTGCAAACGATTGCTAATCGCAAGCGTAAACGTACTATCATGTTCAATTACTATATAACATTATATAGTTAAAGCGGGACCATTGACAATATCTGACCTTGATCACTGATCAGCCAGGCAACTTTTTTTCTTCGGTAAAATGTTTTTGACACCTTGTTTACTAAAAACTACCGTGTTTGAAATTGTTCCGAGGTTTGAAATGCTTCGAACTCAAACTGAGTAATCTATGGTTAGTAATGTAAAAGCAATAAGCAACCTCTGCAGCGGTGGTCTCACTGGCGTAGTAGATGGACTATCCTCCACCACAACAGCCAGCTGCTTCTCCTGTAGAGTTGCACCACCCCCCTGTTCCTGCTGCATCTCCTGCGCCAGCCTCACCGCCAGCTCCCGGTCCCTCCTCTCCTGTGACAAATTACAAAAGAAGTCAACGCCAAACTAAAAACGCTATTCCGTTGACAGTGTTTTCTGTATTCCGTTGACAGGGTTTTCTCTATGACTGAAAATGTCATAAGTTTCGTTCTCCATTGAATTACCGCAATATTTTCTTTTAGAATTCTCAACAAAGCAGAATAGTTTGTTGTTCCGACCACGAAGTAGAAAATAACGAAGACCCGGCCATTTTTCAATCCAAAAACTGTCAAGGAACGTCAAATGGAGTCAATTGATACATCATATCATGAAGCGCTTTCGGTGATGAATCGATTGAATTGAACTTTAGAAAATACTATCTGTGTCGAGAAAAAACGTTTCGAATATTTTTGTTCAGGCTGAAAATATCATTCAGACTGAAAATGTTACTTCACTTCAGACCTATGGCTTCTCTCCTTTTTTTTAATATTCGTCACTTTATTCATGTTTCTTCTTCGTACCTGCTCTAGCAGCGTGGATCGTTTCTGTTCCTCCTCTTTCTCCTTCTGCTCCTGTATTTTGAGCTGCTGCTCGTGCTGTTTGCGCAGTCTCTCCTCTTCTTCTTCCTTCTTCTTTTCCGCTTCCTCCTCCGCTTTCCGTTTCGCTTCCATCTCAGCACGCCTAAACACAGCACACTCCGAACTTGAAAAAGTGAAATGAGCGGGAAGGATTTTGTAAAATGCGTTTTTGTTTCGCACCCAAACGACAAGTCTGGTGGAGTAAATCGATGCTTCATATTACTGCCCTTTTCGCTACTACAGTGCTGATTTAAATTAACCGGACGAAACGCGTTAAACTTGAAATTTAAAACGCATTTTTCTCAAATTGGGTTGAGTTTAGGTGAAAACTTATGAAGACATAACTTGCTTAGAATTTTAGCAGAATTAATATGGTGTAATTTGTTTTGCGAAATTCGGGTCCAAAATTTTACCCCCAAAATGGGTCATTTTGGCTTTTCTTAGTTAATAGAAAATTACGCCTAGAATACCCAGTCGATCACAGACATAATTATATCAAAGTGAGCCCCTTACGTAGCCCAACAAACTTTAAGAAGGGTATAATCTCCAAAATATTGTATAAGTTAATTTATTTTTGTTTGATAGAAAAAAAGTCATTTTTACTTTATAAAATACCAACTTTTTATTTAAAAACAATTTTAAAACAATATGGAATTTGTTTTGAAGAAAATACCCTTCTTAAAGTTTGTTGAGCTACGTAAGGGGCTCACTTTGATATAATTATGTCTGTGATCGACTGGGTATTTTTGGCGTAATTTTCTATTAAGTAAGAAAAGCCAAAATGACCCATTTTTGGGGTAAAATTTCGGACCCGAATTTCGCAAAACAAATTACACCATATTAATTCTGCTAAAATTGTAAGCAAGTTATGTCTTCATAAGTTTTCACCTAAACTCAACCCAATTTGAGAAAAATGCGTTTTAAATTTCAAGTTTAACGCGTTTTGTCCGGTTAATTTAAATCAGCACTGTATGCACGGTTGCTTTCTTGCATGATTATAATTACCTATATAAATTAGAGATCGAGTTAATTTCTCGAAATGACAATATTTGTCAATCTTGCTACCTGAAAATTTTCTTTGCGAAACCGAAGTACCGCATGAAAAATCCTTCGTAAAAAATTAATGTATGGTTATTCACCAATACTGGCACCTATTGTACTCGAGGCGATGGCAACGGAAGCTTGACTTCCGATCAAGTATTGTAAACGGTAAATGAAATAAATTAAGTTCAAGGCCAAGATGAAGACGAAGTGCACTCTACTCACTCCTTCTTCTCCTGTTCCTGTCTGGCCCTCTCCTGCTCCTCCCGCTCCCTCCTCCTCTTCTGCTCCTCCATCTGCAGTGCCACCTGTCTCAGTCTCTCCTTCTCCGCCTCCTCCATCTCCTTACGCTTCAGCTGCAGACCACTAGCCGTCTTCTACAGAAAAACAGTACGACAGAATAAGGATCATTGCTACAGTACATATGGCAGAATAAGTATCATTACAGAACATCATGTTCTGAAAAGTTTCAAGCAACAAACCCTTATTTTAGAAACATGAATGTTCTTTTCTCAATTATTAAGTTTGAGCCATATAAAGCTTCAAAAAAACCGAATTTGTGAATCATGAAAAAATTAAAGACCTGCATATAGCGCAGAAAAATATCAGAAAAGATTTCTTTATTTTTTTCAGACTGAAGCTACTTTCGTTTTTTTTACCTCAACTGCATTGACTAGTGTTCTGTATGCAGCATCTATCTGTTCAAACTTGCTCATCTTTCCACTTTTTATCTTCCCTTGTAGATCATTCATCTGACTATACAACGCATCAATCTCCTTATTAAAAGCATCCTTATTGGCAGACCCCTTCATGGATCCAACTATGGCCCTGCAGTTTTCTATGGACGTTTTGATCGTTGCCACCTTGGCTAGGCCTCTGTACATGGGTCTGAACTTGCGAATGGCTAGGAACATGCGCACTGTCTTCTGGATTTTGAGTCTAGCTGCCAAGCGGTATTGAATCTTGTTTCGCACTGAAAAGCCAAAGTCGTATTCAGAAAAAAAAGATACCAAATAACTTAGAACAATTAGATAAGCAGACAAGATGTTTTAAGCTTTTCGGTTCCCTGATTGATTAGTTTTGGAAACACTTCAAAAAAGAATATTATGATTTGATGCTGTTTTCAAATTAACATGCTTCACGAAACAAATGACAGTGATAAGTATCCACACTCACAAGATCACTAGGACTTATTGTTTTAGGCACAAACAAAATCAATAGTGGTTTTCCTTACACTTGATGACTTCCCATGCGCCATAGATGGCCTTCTTCCACCTGGCACAGATGAGCCACTTGGCCACTTTCTCAATCAGACTCAGCAAGTGTTCCTTGTCATCAGTGCGCATCACAGAGTCAAACTCCGCAAACTAGTACAAAAACCTTGATGACATGCAATTATCGTGTATTAGTAATCAAACCATTCTCTTTGCTTCAGTTAGAAAAAAAATTCGCACAGAAAAAAATATATTTTTTCATGCACGTTCTCTTCAACTAAAACAGCTCATATACTGGAATTTTCATTTTAATTTTCAGTACAAATGGCATCAAAATTTTGAATGACATTGCAAAATGTCAACCCGGTCCTTTATCAGCTCGGTATATGTCTTGGCATTGCTTGAGATACGTACGAGAACTCATAATATTTGGTCAAAACTGCATACCTTTCCTGGCCTGAAGAATATCTTGCTGGATCCAAAGCGGAAGTCATTGTTGTTCATGCCGACTGCCTTGAAGAGTGCCTTGCAGAACAGTCTGGGGTCCAGTCTGGCAATCTTGGGCGGGAGATTGTTCTTGTAGAGGGCGTAGAGCTCAACGAAAGGAACTCGACAAGGGTAACCACTCTCCATAACTTTGAGAGCCGACACCACTCCTAAAAACACAAGCCTGTGTTAGTAATTATTATATCACTAGTTTTCAGCCGGGTGTTTTGCGTTAATCAAATGCACCAGTGTATAGTCTACAGACCTTTATTGAAAATAGGACCGATTTACCAGAGTTTGATTTTGGAAGGGTAGCAAGCTGCCTAACTATCCATCTTCCAAAAACAAACCACCTTTCGATGACATGATTTATCACAGGGCATAGCATGCCTTGCTGTCACTTTCTTTGTGGCAACTTCAGAAAAACTCCTTGTCATTGGGATTTTAACCATGAGCTTTTTAAGTAACCAGGCTGACTGTCCAGTCTGGTCTTAACCAGTGAGAACAGGGGATTGGTTTAGACATACGGGCTTAGTCTCTTAAAAACAAATAGATTTTTGAATACTATTTTCAAATTTAGCCAATGAGATTAAAAATCATTTTTTTTTCGTATCGAAGTCCCATTCACACCAATAAGCAGCTACAACCAAATTATGTATAATATTTAAAAGCTAAGTTATGAGCTGTAATTTTTTTTAGTTTTTGAGATGAAATTACCAAAGTTCGAAAACTGAAAAAAATATATTCTTTCCTTATTGTTTATTTGATTGACTTCTCGATATCAGTAAAGAAACATCGTAATAATCACTTAACAAATCTCATCATAGGATATACTGCAGTATCATTCCAGTAAAATATTATCAACTTCTTTTTTCACGAAACTAGTCATCGCTTGTTACTTCATCAAATAATAATTTTTGCCCAACTAAACTGATAATCCTTGCAAGGGTAGACATTGAGTGGGTATATAGCATTCCATGAGTATATCGCCTCAATTTTATTCTCGATGATAGATATTTTGATTAATTATATATTATCCATTTAACGCTTGATTGTATTTTAGCTTGTATTTTTTAGAGAAGCCAATTTTTCCTTCTTTCTGTATTTAAATATCCCGTTTCCACTCGAAACAAGTTACAGTTACAGGAGCCCATCATGTCAAGTTGGCTGATTTAATCTTAAATACTGGTGTTGCTGAATAATTTGGGTTTTCGAGCTATCAGTACAAATTAATTCACACAGGAGCGACACGGAGTACCGCATCGAATGCGATAGATTAAAAGCGTAGCATTTTAAGCTATCAAAGAGGCGTTGAGATGGAAATATCAAAGTAATACAAACATTTAAAAAAAAACAGATGAGAAATACAACCACTAGCTTTGAATAAGCTTTTTTTCCGCGCGTTCACTAAGCCAACAACATGTGGTCAGACTCCAATTCATCCTATAACAAGAAATGCCAAAAAAACTGACATAAAAAAACCAACAATTTTTTTTGGAAATACGAAAAATGTTATCTCAGAAAAGCGGATGGGAAACACAACCATTAGCGTTAGAAAGCTCTCAGCATTTTCCGAGCGTTATTCAAGCCAACAACACGTGTTTAAAATCCAATTGATCCGAAAATAAAAAAAAAAAGGCGAAACAAAAAACACGACCAAAAATCAGCTCTATCAAGTGACATAAGAAACATTAGAAAAAAGATTCGAATTTACAAAAACTTGATGCTTAGCAAAAAGTCGAATTTACAAAAATCTGCGAACTAGCAAATTTGAGTCTCACGCACTAATCATTCAGCCACGGATGCTTAAAATCTCTAAAAACTAGCCACCAATATTGCAGATACATATGCTAATAAATTGCCATTTTGATGCAGAAAAAGTAGCATCAAATATAAAAAGATACAGTTTTGCATGTAAAAAATCGCAAATCATAAAGCCACATTATGTATAAATTATGCAGTTCAAAAAATTTCGAGATAAATTGAGTTAGAAAATTTCTGAAATCGAGATTTTATTATTGCATGTTGTATGAATCAAATAGCTTTCTTCGATTCACTTGATGAATACAAATGCATCAAATGTGTAAACTTATAAGTATTCGAATGTCAAAGCACATGTTATCAATAAGCTGTAAATGGGCATCTGAATATCAAAGGTGCAACAAATTATCAAAATATCTTATTGCAAATTCGACGAAGCAAATATTGTTGCTTTAAGTCGCAACAATAATTCCGACTAAGTCGCAACAAAAATTGCAACAAAATTTGCAACTTAGGTTGGAAAAAAAAAGTTCGTACTATTGCACATTGCTTCGCAAGTATAAACACAGGATACTATTGTCATAACAAATCAACAATTGTCTGGAAACACGAAAAAATTATATCTCACAAAAACAGACGAGAAACACAACCACTAACATAATAGAAGCATTTCGTACAACCGAGCGTTCACTAAGCCGGCAAACAGAGCTTAGATGCCAACTGATCCGAAAACAAAAGATGCCAAAGAAAATAATTGTCATCAAAAAAACAATTGAGCGATTTTAAAAAACTGAATTCTAACCTTTTATGGGACCAATAGACCTGATTAATTCAAAACAAGGATAACTTTTTTTATATTCAAACTGATGCAAAAGCATTTCACTAAACGGACAAAATATAAGTCGACATTATTAAGACCGAATAAAAATTTACAGGGAAAAAAACACAAAAAATGGAAAATGTAACAGTCACGGATAGTACATTTTAAAAACTACAGGAGTTAATCAACTCCACTTCAGGCTACAATGAAAACTGCTCATAGCGCAAAAAAAATCGAGGTGTGGCAACTAAACCGACAAACTAAAGTCCGGTTATTCGTTTCCCAGAAAAAAAATCAATTTCAGACATTGGAAAAAAGGTCCGGTCGGGACTCGAAACCCAGACTATAGGGTGCAAAAGAATCAGCATTACCAACAGTTCAAGAGAGAAGGTGCCTTGAGAATGCTAAGAATCGAAAATAAAGCAACATCAATTTCAGTTACAAATGTAAGAAAAGTTGTTCACGGGGAAAAAAGTCTTGTTCCCTATTACAAGACACTCGCCATCGCAAGTGTAATTATATAATTTCGTATCTTGATCCATTCAGGAGACTACGCTTTACCTGAGCACTGTAGCTGAGAGAGTACAGATGCTCCTTCGAAGGATCCCTGAATCATCTTGGAGTTGGGCTTGATGCATCTCACAAAGTGGGCTCCAGTAGGCTCCAATTTCTTCATCAGCACTTCCAACTGAGACTAAAAAAATAAGTTAACTTTACACAGAGGTTAATATCATGCAATACAGCATTGGCTTATTATAAAGCTTAACTCAATGTTCTCTGATTAAACAACAAATGACAAAAAAAACAATTTCTCTTAAAACTCAAATATGATACCAGTTACTAAGGGGATGTGGAAAAATCAACAAGATAGGTGAGTGAATCTACTCCCCAATGAAAAAAAATTACATTTCTGGATTTTCAAAGATATGTTTTTAATTATAACAGACATGTTCAAAAACTCAAGTCTGGCTTTTGCAATCATCAGATAGTAATCGTACTCTAAACTTGCTGGAGACGGAGATGAAGTTGAGTTTTCCGCCTGAGCTAGATCCTCCTTTCACTTCTTCCTCGAACAGTTTCTGTACAAAGTCATTGTTGCTCTCACACACCACCGCCTCTAGACTAGCGTGAAGAGCGTCGTTGTTCTTCTCCAGAAACTGGTCCTGTGAGCAAAACAGTTTTTATTAAATCTGATAAGAGATGAAACAAATTTAAAAGTCCTTCAGCCATCAATGTTAACTCAAAAAATAAAGTAATTTTTTTTTAGGTTTCAGACTATGGAACAACTTTTTAGACAAACGCACCTATTTGCCTATTTGTTATCTTAGAATCATTTTACCAAGCATATTGAGGACAATTCATCCTACATATCATTAGCGAAAAGATAATATCCTAAAGAAACTTACATCATTATTTAAGTTATGTATAAATATATAAAATAAATAAATAAAAATAAGTTATATATAAAAATAAAAGTTAAAAATACTTTCATCATGAGCAAATAGGCAAAAGAAACAAACAATACTACTAACCGTAGTATAACACACGGCACCAGCAAAGTGTCTAATCAAGAAACCCTCCTCGTCCTTCCACGTCTTGTACAGAGCTAGTCTTGACTTTCTCGGCGTTTGCAGTCTGAAGTTATCTTTATGCTTCGAGTGAACTTGAGTCGTAAAATGTTCAGAATTAGGCTTCGGCAGTTTCATTTCCTCATTCATTATGTCAATAATTCCCAGAGATTTAACCTCTACTAAATCTATACAGTCCTGGTTATCTGTGAATTCGATCGCATTCACTCCTAGACCCTCGCGTTGGTACAGCTCTTGTTCCTGTTTGAGAGTTCTCAGGTTGAAAAATTGTTGAAGTTTCTCGTTACAGTAGTTAATGCAAAACTGCTCGAAGCTATTTTCCTGGAAATATTCGAATCCAGCTATGTCCAGGACGCCTATAAAGTGTTCCGACTTCGAAAAGGGAAAGCACTCGTTGACTCGGCTCACGATGAAGTCAAATAGCCGAGAGTAGATTGCTTTCGCCAGTGCGTCTCGACCATTGACTGCTGCCTTCACTTTCAGTGGTACCCTGAAAAGAAGATTTACTTTTGGGAACAAAACTAACAAAAACTGCAGCAATGTAACTGAACACTGAACTTCGCATAGCTATTTTTTGAGTGATTCACTATTTTCCCAGCTAAGGAAATGGCATGCATATTTCATCCTATATTTCTTTTTCAAAATTTGGTCGAGAAAGATTTTCGTTGAAAATTACCAAAAACGCATCACTTTAAAAATTGCCATTCTACTGTTCAAGAACACTTTAAAATGAACAATTGTAAAACATCCATTGAACGAGTAACAGTGTGCAATATACGTTACGGTTTCAGCGCTACTAAAAAGTATATTATTACGAAGTTGAAAAAAAAACACCATACCCAACAGACAAGTGGAAAAATGGGATGAACAAAGGAAGACGGAATTTTTTTTGAAAATCGTGATTGACCTTTTTTTTTAAAAAAACCAATCCAATTAGAAAAAATTTGACGAATAGTTAATTCTAACTCCGGTGCGAAATCTGAAAATTTCCGAAAAATAAATCATTCATGCTTTTTCCCGTCATTTCAACTTTTGTTAATCGAGAGCGTAATTCGCAAATGAATTTGAATCGAAATACGGCAGAAACTATAAGCCAAACCGCTTAAATCAAACTTGAGCGTTCATTGAGACTTAAAAACTCTTGTCCAGTATCATCCTTCATGAATGAAAACGACATTAAAATAATCAGATCGTTTTTCTTTTTGTTAAGTCAGTATCCAGTAGCACTTATAGCAATGAAGGCATCACATATTGTAATTATGGTAAATGAAGTAAACTCTAGCAAAGACTTATCATCACACCACAATTCAGACATTTGATATGATAACTCACATGTATACAGTTCCCTTGGCCTTGCCGCTCTGCATCATCTTCGAGGTGAGACACCTAGACAGCTCGGAGGATTCGAACCCCAACAGAGTACAGGTGTTTTTCACAGCCGTACTCGAATTGGCACTTATTTTACTACCGTCTGAAACAGTATAAAAAGACATGCATTGGGTCGGATCAAGGTTCCAAGGTCACTGTTAACTGATTCTATCGAACAAACATAGCCAACAGACAGTTGGAAAAGAGTCAATAACCGCAAGAAAACAAAAAAATACTGACTTGTTTTTTAAAGAAATCTCTACTTTCGAAATTAAAAGAATGAAATAGATGCCCTTATAGCTCTTTAAATTTCTTGAAGAGTTTATACTTTCTTGATATCTGAAAATTAAATTCCACTTCCCAAACTAGAAGACTATCACATTTTTCGTGACTTTTACACTTTTGCTGTTCTATAGTGGAGTGTGCCTTCTTTTTAACAAAAGAAATGAACCGAACTTAAAAAGAAATCAAGTCAATCTGCCAAACAGTAAAAGCCTGCACAAACTTAACTTTTTCTGAAACTATTGACGACCTAAAAACCATGACGACCTATATAAGAGTCTGAACAACGTTCATCGACTCTTTAACATATGATTGTCAAAGAGATTTTGAAAACAGAGGCTAAGCGGAGCTTCGCACCACTTGCTTTGCAAAATATTATGTAATGCCAAAAAATACGCTAAAAAACCGCCACATAATTGCTATTTTTAAAATACGAAGATAATCTGATGATTGAACTACCATACCATAAATCATTGTAACTTATCTTTGCTATCTCGGATTGAAGTATTTTAAAAATTTATTCATTGAGGTCTAACAGGATCGGGTAATAAAGGCTCAAGCACCAAATGTGTGCTTTCAACACAACAAATTCTCGAGGGGTCGAGCTCGCGTGGGGTCTAAAATTAACAGTGGTTGGGACATTTTTTGAACAAAAATGGAGCTTTTCATTGCGGGAGGTGGCCTTGTTTCAAAACTATCAGGGGGTCCTGCAAATTTAGATCATCTGATTAATGTAATGATGAAATCGATCCAAAAATGTTCTTGAACTTCTTCTAAAAATTTTAGTATTTAAGCCAGGCAACTATCTTTCAGCACGAAAAAAGAAAACAACTTTTTGATTTGGAGATCTCAAAAATGGCCTATTTTTTTTATAAGTTTGGGTGTAAATTTTATGGTATAAATATTCAAATGGGGCCCACCCCCTCATAAATAGTGGTGGCTCAATATTCCAGGGGGTTGGGGTCTATGAAGAAGTCGATTTATGTTGCGAGGTGAGGGGGTCCCGACAGTTGTGTAGTGCAGAGTATAGTACCTTCGGATCCGCTGGACTGGTCAAACTCTATATTTCCCAGATGGAGCACCCCTGCCACCACTCGGAAGATGTCTCCTATCTCCTGCTCACTCAATCCCACCTGCTTCATTGCAGTCTGCATCCGGTTGAAGTCATTCACGTCGTCCATCAGGGGATCCTTTAGAGATCCCTGCTTCAAGAACTGGGAAGAGAATAAGACATTTTTTCAACTACATTATGTATTTTCCGAGCGCTCCCAGAACAACATGAAAACCCTAGTTTGACAAAAATTTTCTCTGAAAAATAAAATCCACGGTCGAAAACCAGTCAGGATATTTTTCTGACCTTTACACTTTTGGTGTTCGATAGTCTAGTTTTCCTTCCTTTTAACCATGGAGACAAACTGAACATAAAAAAAGAAATCAAAAGTCAAACCACAAAAAAATCAAAATTGAACCTTAATAATTTTAAGACTTTATCATGTAAAAATCATCAAGACCTATTTACGTCTTCACTACGTTAATTACTCAATTACTCTTAATTTGAGCGTGAAAAAACCTAAAGATTTTTTCCTTGGAAAAACAACCAAAAAACACCCAAGACCTAAATAAGGTTATTCACTACGTTTATGAATTTTAATCATTCGTAAGTACATCTTTCTCTAAACATTTCTGGCTAGACTGGTTGCAAATAGGATTGAACATATAGGGAACTAATCAGTTTTAAAAACAATTACAATAAAGGTAAGCAAGGATAGAGAGATTGAGCTCTTACCTGTTGGCTTTTGGCGTTTTTGTCCAGGGAAGACAATGTGGAGCTGCTGTTTATGAAATAGCTGGTACAGCCATGCTTCAAATACTACAACAAAACAACAAATATAGGCAGATAGAACTTTTATGGTAATTTTGTACAGGGGAAAAACATCTCGTATATTTTTCAATCATATGAATCATGCAGGGGGTGCTTTAAAAGTTCATTCACGTAATTACAAGTGAGTTTTATATGAATACGTTTAGTCTTCCAAAACAATATCGCAGCACATTTAACTCCATGAACTGAAATTGATCAAAACATTGCAAGAATTCATTCGTACGCGGAACTGGTCAGGCGCAGACAAAGAGAGCTTCTTCCGGAGATCATCAGGAGCCCCAGCACAGAGTCTGTAAAACACGTGGTAGCTCCTCTCGTTCGCACTTTGGGTGGCAGTAATTCTACTCTTCTCCAGCAGATAGTGAGACACATGGCCACCCACCACTTGGAACTAAACAATACCATCGTATATCATCCAGACCATGACAAACCAGCCAAAGTTGAGCATAATCTACATAATCATTTAGCAATTATGCAACATTAAGAAAATCATATTTTGCAAGTATTTTACATCACGAAAATCATGCAAATTTCAAAACCGATGCAACAATCTTCGCCTATTTAATAAAGGCAGCTCACTATCGGTTTGTCTTTTCTTCGACTGTTGGGTTAATGTTGCACCGATATTACATAACTGCTTATATCATCGGCAGGTTTATAGTTCAGCTAATTTATATGTCAACTCAACAGGTATGAGTCTAGAAAATTTAAGAATAACGTTCTAGAAGCTTTTGAAAGAACAATATTTCTAATGCACGAATTTGTAAAAAGAGAAAAGCTCTTCAGACAACATATTTTTGGGCAAACTGAGCATAGAACTGGGTATAAAAATATTTCAGAAATGTGTGATCAACAATTGTTTTCCAATCGAATGAATGATTGTTCATTTTGTAAAACAAATCATCTTTAGTTTTTAAAAGCGAACAGAAAGATGTTTCACCTGCTTGACACACTGAGCTACAAACATCAAATTCTAACTTCAATTCAGTTTTTTATACATACCAAACGCTTTTTCACAACAATTTTCAGCAGAACAAGAATCGCCGATTGCTTTGCCAGTACAACTGAGCCTTCCCAACACACCGATTTAAGACTCAGAGCCCAAGCTCGGCTTCGCAAACACTTTCGAGAACACAACCAAAAAGCAGCTCTAACGAGTGAAATAAGAAAAAGTAGAAAAAGCCTCGAATTACCAAAAACTCGGCTACGCATCGGGTTAGAATCTGCGACCTAGCAAATTTGCGTCTCACGCACTAACCACTCAGTCACGGATGCTTAAAATCCCCCAAAAACTAGCCACCAATAACGCATCTACATATGCTAATAAATTGCCAATTCGAGCATAAGTAGCACTAAATACGAAAAGACACAATTAAGCATGCAATAAATTGGAAAGCATAAAAACTATTATGTATAAATTATTCATTTAAAAAAAATTCTGAGATACATTGAGTTGAAAAAATTCTGAAATCAAGCTTTTTGTCATTGTACTGCTGTTTGAAACGAATAACTTTTTTCGAATCATTTGATGAATTGCATCAGCTATGTTAATTTTTTGATAATCAAATGTCAAAGCCCATATGATATCATACAGCTACCGCAACCTACCGATTAAAACTGACATTTGCAAGTGTAAAAAGAAAAATAAATTCAACAATATTTGAAAAATTGCATAATTGAATTTTTTTCTATCTAAATTTCCAGTTATTGTTGTTCCGACAATTTAAAATGGGGAGGAACTTTGTATTCTGTTGTTTTAGTTTCTTGTTTTCCACGCAAAATTAGGTAGCACAAATAATAATCGGACTGGGCTGAGTGATATATCATATGAAAGCCCTTTCAGTCGTGATTCGAACAACATTTAAAAAATTCCAAAAATTTTTCCCAGTGCCGAGAAAACCCGGTTTGAAATTTTTGAAGGATAGGCTTATTATGAAGGGATAGTCGCAGATTAGTAGTAGTGCCATTAACAAGCCATGAATTCTTTATTCAAGCGCTAAAAATGGAGTTAAATAAGTTTCAAAAAAATTTTAGCGCCATCTTGGGAATAAAACTTCAGCAAAAAAAAAGGAAAAAATTATTTTTTTTTATTTTTTTTTATATTAATTTTTTTTAAGAAAACTTTTTCCAATATGCCAATTTACTATGAATACCGGAAACGCCTAAAATCTAGTCTTTCATTCAGATCCTTTCATCACGTTCTTTTAAGAATATGGTCGGAAAAATCTGTGCTACTTGCACAGCAACCAGCTATCCTTGTTTTTTTTAGAACACAGAGACAGAGTCGAAGCTTCGCTTCACAAACACTAGCGAGAACACAAAAAGCAGCTCTATAAAGTGCAATAAGAAAAATTAGAAATAAGCCTAAAAATTTGGCTACGTCTCGGATTCGAACCAACTAAACATTCAGCAACGGTCGCTTAATTGGTACTAAACACTAGCCACAAATTAAGCAGAAAACAGATGCTATGCAATTTCCAATGCTACAGTGAAATTTCCAAATAAGTGAACACTTGTATTTGCGAGTTGGATTAGAAAAAAAAGAAGGTTCGTAATATTACACTACGCTGATGGCTAGTGTAAATAGCAATTGAATTAGTTGAAAAAAATATTACTAAAACAGGTGGTTATAACAGCTAAAATTTAAACTTTAATAGATCAAAATTGGGAGCATCTGATTACGGTGTCTAATTTGGTCTTAAAACTCGAAAATAAGAAAGTGTCTATTTCGAGAAACACTGGTCAAAATATTTGAGTTTTTCTATTAACAACGCTTGTTAAGAACCCGAATGGCGGCTGAAAGGGCTTTAAATTGATACCACACTCGAACTCTTAACAGCTTTCTTTGAAGTAGTCAAAATCGGCTGGAAAAGGCACACTACGCCATACTTTCTTCCCACTTCGAGAAGTGGCAGGAACAAAAAGTCAAAAATAGAATCCTAATACTAAGATCCATGTCAAAGCATTGAAATAATACGTCGTTAAGTGAAATTCGACTACACCTAAAATAAGCTTCTGACCTTATCGAGGTGGATTCACATTACTTCTCCAAACTTAACTCAAAATCGCATTGACTCAGCACACCAATTTGTGACTAACCCTTTCGTTGTAGTGCACTTCGACGAACTTTCCGAACCGGGAGGAGTTGTTGTTACGAGTGGTCTTGGCATTTCCGAAACTCTCCAGGAGTGGATTTGCTTCTACAATTCGCTGCTCAATGCTAGTCATGTTAGGAGATGCTATTCCTGTATGCGCACTCTCTGTTAAGTACCTGAAACACATTTCATAGCACATATATAATTTCGAATTGTTTCTGGCATTATCAAATTGTTCCTTGCATTATAAATTATGCCCAAGATTCAGTACGCATCTCACTGGCTTAGAACCAATCACTTTTAAAACGTCATCTTATTAGTGTTAGCAGAAGCTAGAAGGTCATCTAGTGCTTTTTATTCTCCTACACATTTAAAAGGATAATGGAATCATTTCCAGGGCAACCATCTCATTTTCTTCCTTCAGGCTCGGAACATTAAATTTCGCATGAGTTATGGTGATTACTTCAGGAAATGCGACAAAACGTTGTCTTTGAACTTCTGAAGCAAGCACCTAGCAGAAGAAACTGTAAAGCCAAATAATGTACACAGAGGCGAAGTTGTACTTCACAAACACAAGCAAAAATATGACCGATAACGCTACTGAGAATAACTGAATGAGTAAAACTTTGAGTCTACATAATTTCTTAAGTGACGCACGCCAATTATGATTCTACATAATTGTTAAGAGACACAAGCCAATTATGACGCATTGGCAGTACCAGTCAACTTGAAAAAAGAAATCGACGAACGGAAATGAAATGAACTTTGAGACACAGAGGCGAAGCGGAGCGTCGAATCATTTGCGAAAAAACACTAACATAAAAAAATATTAGTCAAAAAAGGAAAAGGTTGAAAGAAACGAGGTCAACCAAAATTTTGGCATGCCTCGATAAAACTTCATCCGAGACAAACATGCTAAGCAAAACATTTGAATATTTTACTAGCAACGGAACAAAACTTACGAAGCGGAAACAAAGCCGACAATTTTTTGAGGACACCAGCTGAGCTGAAACAAATTGATTTAGTAAGAAAAGTTTCAAGTCCCCTGAAACTAATGTGAACAACACTTGCTATAAATAAAAACTATAATATAACTGCCTAAAAACAGTGATGCAGAACAAAATTTGAGCATACAAAAGAAAATCCGACAATTCAATTTTTACTGACAAACAATTTCCATTTCATACATGAAAAAAAGTTCCGCCCGGGACTCAAACTCCAGACCTTAGGGTGCAAACGCGACCGCGTTATCCTTAGGCCAAAGGGAAACAAACCTATAAGTTGTTAAGGCTCAATAATAAAGAAGGAGAAGCAAGAAAGATTTGTGAGAAAAGTTGTTTACGGGAAAAAAAGTCTAGTTCCCGATTATAAGACATTTGCTCTCGCAAGTGCAAAGGTCAAATCGAGTATTTGGTCGACTTCCGTTTTTAAAAGACATTCAGATTGTGAAAAAGGAATCGTAAAAGTATCAACCAGCAGAACTTTTGGGTGAAAAAGGAAAGCATGCTCGCGGAAATCTATCTTGGTAAAAAGAGTAAAATATATTTTTTAAAGCAAAGGAAGCTCATAACTACCAAAGTAAATATTTTATGATTGACAGGATTGGTTTACTCGACCATACCTCAGCATATACTTAGTCGTTTCTGTTTTTCCTGCACCCGACTCCCCAGATACAATGATAGACTGGGAACTTCGTGTTTTCTTCATCTCACGAAGGGCAAGGTCACCTGAAATGTAGCACGTTTTCTTTGTTTCAGAAGCAACACATTTTATTGAACAGAACTTTCGTAAAAACAGAATCCTTAAAATTTTTACGATCTTTGTATTTACAATTCTTCTCACCCATTCCAGCATATACCTGTTTCACCAAAGAAATCAATCAAGGGGTTTTGTGCAATATCTTTCAACAGGGATAGTATATACAATTTTTTTTACCAATTGCAAACACGTGTGGTGGCATAGTTCCCAGTGATTTGCCCTTGTATTTCTTGATTGTTTCCGAGCTGTAGAGATTCTTTATGTCGTGGTACGGATTAACAGCAATCAGAATATTCGCCACATAGGTCTGAAACATTTTTTGGTCTCACTAATCATGATATAACATTTGACAAGGGTATTTAGGTGCGTAGAAAGCAACCTTCACTCGTTTTTTAATTTCAAAATAAACAAAATTTGAGAAACAGCACATGCCAAAAAAGCGTTTCCTCAAAAAGTCACCGAACAAGATTTTTTGTCGGCATTTTCTGAAAATCACACTCTATCAATAAATAACCGCACTCTTCACAGTACGAAATCATACCCATTTGGTCTACCGTACGCGCTTACTTCGACGTGAAGATTTACTTCAACGGGACGCAACTTAGATCTCAATGCAAACTCAATTTAAAATTATTACGTATATCTGATCGTGTTTGTAATGATTTTTGGTGTTGTTCAGGAGGGTAGCCTCATTGAGATACATCAAAGCACCTAAACAGAAACAAACATCGATAAGATCTAATTTGGTGAAGAACAAGTTTGGTGACATTCTCAACAACTTTGGATTTCTGGGGATCATCTCCAAACCATTTCATATATCTTGCTGCTGTTAATATTGTTACGATTTAGCAGCCAACGCTGAATTTACAGTTGGCTTTCTGCTTTATTTTGGGTTTTTTCTTAAATAAACCGATTGATAGAAATATGCTTTCATATACTGAAACTTTCATCTTAATTCTGACTTAAATGGCTTTTGAGCTGAGCATAACTTTTCGGAAAGGCTCGATGATTTTCTAGTTTTCTAGTACACAACTGACTGAGCAAGTTTTACCTAATACCGCATAAATAAGTTAGCCGTAACTTGTTTTTTTTCATAGCTCCTCTTTAGCTTCATTTCTCCGTTTCTACAACATCATTGCGCTAACAACAAACAACATGAAAAACATTTCCTGTTTCTTTAACCAAATAAAATCAATATCCTTTATTACTAACTGTTCCATTCCATTAACATTATCAATGCTTTCTTTGAACAAGCTTAAGTATGACTCGACTTAAAATTGCTGAGGAAACAACTTTAACTTCAAGATAAAATAATGTCATTTTTTACTGACGACTGGTTGGCTCAAATTGTTTAAATTGGGTGGCTGATTTAATTTTTAAAAATTGGCTTCAACCTGTTACCAATGGAAGCAATAGAATCTAACTATGCCATCAAAAAGCTTGAAAAAATGGAACAAAAATCTCAGTTAGAAACACTAATCTGTTGATTGCTTATTAAAATGAATGAAACCAAATAATTGAAGCAGAATCTTTATATTTCAACTACGTCCCAATATTTTGTTTTTATTCAATTAATATGCATTTTATAAAAACTCATCAACATGACGCACACTAGCAAAATGATTTCCTCTCGTTTAGCCATTTAAGTGTTTATTTTTATTGGGTATTCTAACGGCTAATAAGAAACGTAGCACAACTTAATTCAACCACAGTATTCACTTTAAGCTTAAAGCCAAATTTATTTTTTCTCAATTTTCTGCTGTTGTTATGGGTAGCAAAAAGAGTTGAAATTAAGCTCTAAATATGGAGGCAAAGCGAAGCTTCACTTCACTTGCGATACAGAAAAAAAATCAAGAACTACAATATTGAAAACATAGCCGACTGACAATTGGAAAAGAGTAACTAAAGCAAGGAAACTGAAAAAACATTGACTTGTATTTCCAAAAACCTTCAACTTTTGATTTTCGCAAAAACAAATAATTTGTAGAACAATTTATGATGGACACACTTTTGATAAAAATTAACCCAATGTGAGAAAACTAGATCAGTACGTAAAATTTTTATTTCGCTGGGAAATCTGATAATCAATATCCATTTTCAAAATCAGAAGTCGATCACGTTTTTCGTGACCTTCCTTTTGCTGTTCGATAGTGGAGTTTGCCTACCTTTTAACAGTGGAAATGCACTGAACTTGAAAAGAAACCACAAGTCAAGCCGCGAAAAATCAAAATTGAGCGTGAACAAATTTTACACAGAGTCAAGCGGAGCTTCGCCACACTTGCGATGCAAATCACACATTGCGGTACAAAATAGTGAATGAAACAAAAGAGAGGTAAAAAAAGGTTCTGAAAAAATTACTTGAAAAATTAACTAGATAAAAGTTGAAAATTACCGCAAAAAAATCATATTTGTTTTGTATGAAGTTCATTAATAGCCCTCAAAAATAGAAAGCATTTACCAAGCAACAACAAACGCGAGACACTTTGGATCGAAACCTGTTGAGCCAAAAACAAAACTGTTGTGATGAAAAATTAAGCGTTTACGACCCATCCAATTGAAACACATGATCCCAAACGGATATATTTAGCACTCGAAATAACGCAATATAAGTTCACTAAGTCGATATAACATAAACTGAAACAGTTTGAATATAAAAACAAAACGAAAAAAAAAATACTCAAAATTAGACATGGTAAATTAAAAAAAATTGTGAAACTCAGTTATAGTAAAAACTGTTTAAGTTTGAACAAAAACCATGCTTTAAAAGTTATACAAATAAAAATCCTAACCGATAAAAAAAATGACGTATAAAAAAAAGAGAAAATGAGCCAAAAGAAACTAGGACGAGAACACGAACCCAAAAAAAATTACGATTTTTTTTGCAGATAACTACAAGTGAAACGGGCTTGAACTAATTACTACTTAATTGATAGTACTTCTATTCAAATTTAAACGTTTAAAGATCCTGTAGAAGTGAAGATCCTCTAGAAGCATTGAAGATTTCGTGGACAAAGTTGTTTACGGGAAAAAAGTCCAGTACCCGATTGCTAATCGCAAGGGTAAAGACTTTCTTCCAGAAACAAAAAACAAATAGCAAGTCCTATATAAGAGTACTCATTACGTTCATTACTCTTCGAAAAACGGACCATGCCCACTCAAATTCCTAAAAACTCAGAAACTAAATTATAAGCAAATGATACTAATTTGAAAGGAAAAGAAGACAAATCAAAGCCAACGGACAATTGGTAACCACTCAAGGACAGAGCAAAAAAATGATTGAATTTTCTTTGAATAAAAAATATTTTCATTATTTCAATTTTCGAGTTCGAGTTTTAAAGAAAAAACTACCTGGAAAAATCTTTGAATTTCAAGGATTTTTCAAGGATCAGAGTTTTCGAGGAAACAACAATTTATAAAACTTCAAAATATTGTCTGGACTGATGCTTTTTTTTGTGAAAAACAAGCCCAGAAACTAATTCAATAGCGTTTAATGAAAATTCAAAAACAATTATCAAGCGAAAATCAAATTGTTTCCAAGAAAACTTTTAACCACAAATTCTATTCTGAGATTTTTAATGTTTTGTGCAAATCGGAAGAAAGCATTTAAATTATGATTACCTCGAACAACCCAAAACTAGGTTGGCAAGCCAATTAGATATAAGCCCGAAATCATTTTTCCGAAAAACTTTTAAATCGAAAAAAAACCAAGGAAAATGTAGGAAGTCAAGGTCAGCAGAATTACAAATTGCAGGATTAAATCAAAACATAGAAAGCAACTTCAATGAAAACTGCATGAGGCAAATATTTCTATGATGTGGCAATTAATCCGACAAACATAAGCAGACAAATAATAAGCCGACCAGTTTTTTGAAACGGATATTTCTTGATTGAAAAAAAATAGGTCTTGGTCAGATTCGAACTCAGAGCCTTTGCGGTCCCAGTGGTATTCGTTATCTCCAGACTAAGCATGCCGGAGACACGTAGATATTTGAATTCATTATGAGCTAAGTTAAGAAGTGATTCCGTTAAGCAAGTTGTTAAACCGAAAAAAGTCTACATTCCGATTTCACAACGCTTGCTTATTGCAAGCGTAATAAGTCCGAATAAAATCGATAGAATAAAGAAAGCTAAAACATAGTGAGATAGACTCTCGGTTAAAGATGTGAGAACTTCATCCTTTGACAAACAAAAATTGAAAAACCTTTAACAAGACAAGATGGTGCACCTCGCATTTAATATGAAAAAGATAGATGAAAAAACATTGAACGTTTTTTTTTAAATGTCCGTTTCAAATGATTGTGAGTCTCAAATATTCATTCAATCATATTCTCAGCCGTATAGTTTACTAGAAACTGCAATATATTTAAGCTATAAAAGGCTTTTTGTCTTTTGTTTTAGCCTATTGCAGAAAATGACAATCAAAACATTAATCAAATAAGGAGACGACTAAGCCAATATAACATCTAATGAAATCATTAATTTTTTTTCCAAAAAATCTTGAAACAAAAAAATCAAAAAGTGAAGATTTTACTCCGGAAAAAATTAGTCGAGAAGGGCGATTCGGCGACGTGGCGATTCGAAAGGCACTGCGAAATTTCAAACAAAAACTTTCCCAGTATCGAGAAAAACCAGTTTGAAAATTCTGGTTTTTCGTCTTAATTCGAGCGAATAAAGCGATCATGCAGGCTTACAATAGCTTATTGTAATGGCTTAAGAGCTTACAACAGCCTGATTTCAATCGTAAATACTTAGTTTTACTTGAGTAATGTTAATTTTTGGACTATTTTAGCACCTTTTTGGATTCCAAAACTTCAAAAAATTTCAAACAATTTTTTTTTTCGTTTTTCTAGTCAATTTTCAACAAAAAAACTGTTTTTCAATTTGCTTATTTTACTAGGACCGTCGAATGCGCCTAATTTCTACTTTTTTGTTCGGCTCTTTTTGATGACATCACGCCGAAAAGAAAACAACCCTAATTTGAAAACCTTTTTGTTGTATATTTTAAGACTGGTCGTAACATTGTGTGCTACCTGTACAGTAACCGGCTAACCCTTGTTTCAACTCGTATCTGTTCTGCTGGCCATCAAATCAAAAAAGAACAAGCAAAATCAAAAGTCGGATATGATGATGATGATTTAAAACAAAAAACTAATTGGGAAACAGTCGAAAGAATTTCAGTCAAATCAAGAAGCCGAAAGAAAAGTTCGAGCGTCGTAAATAAAATTCTTAAAAACTTAGTAATAACATAAAAGAGGTTTTTATTGGAGAAAAAAACAGAGCGGACCCTCATCAGGCCGCTGCATGAAAAAATTAGTTCCCAATCACGCAATTATTTTTCTCTAGTAAAAAAAAAGTAGTAACCCCGCCACAAACACAATGACAAGTATATAGAATATAGGCAATGCAGGCCTTCGCAAACAAGAAAAACGCAAGAAAATATATACTGTGAAAAACATCAGTTACTAAGGGATTCAAAACAGGACATTAAGTGTCTTGATTCTTAACCACTCAAAATCGTAAGTATAAACCAGTTATTTACAATTGTGGACGTTTCAAAAGTTACAGGCTGATTGCTAGCATGCAAATCTAATCCAAAGAATTTATTATCAGTAGCGAATCTGTCTTGGTTTCGAGTCTTATCTCTGAACGCTCATTTAACAAAACTCCTAGGTCCAAATTTACTTATATCGAAACAAGTTTACTCACTGTTGTCATCCAACCGTCTTTCGGAGTCATCTTCTGCAGGGAAAACATTGCTGTAACTGGTTTTAATGACCTAAACGAAAAAACAAAGGATAATCAGAAATGATAATTGTTCTAACAATTACAATCAATCAATACATTTTTCGATAACATTCATTAAATCAAACACAATTACCTTGTCTCTGCTTAATGGCTCAACGGTAATTTCGGTTTCACTGATATCTGCGATCGTTCCAAGAATGAACCCATCAGTTGGATGTGGTGCCCAAATTTTCTTTCCACCATCCATTTACAAGCTGGAAAATACAGGCTTTTAAGGTGTGCGAACGATCTGCAAAAAAAATTCATCACAATTAGTTGATTTTGATATTGAAACAGTCAGCAAAAATCTCAAGAAAATAAGTATCAAATTTTTCATGACTTAGGAATCAGAATTCAGAGATGGTATTTACTTAAGATACGGATGGGAACCGACCAAAACCCCACTCACATCTGGTGCTAATTTTAACTTGACACATGCTCTACACTGTGCAAAGGGCGGTTACACACAGAAGACACAATGAAATTAGAGACACATTCGCCAACCTCATGACCTTGAGCCGAAACTTCAGCCGTTGCAAGGCTGAAGCTTCGTCAACAATTCAACTACAACTGAAGATGAGGCACGACTTGACATTAAGGCAAACGGACTCTGGGGTTCACGATTTACCCGCGCTTTCGTTCATGTGAAAATTTTCAACCCCCATACCAAAACATCGCGAAAACTGCATAAAGACGCATATAAAAGTCACGAAACGCTGAAGATCTCCAAATATCAGCAAAGACTTTTAAACGTAGAGTAGAGTAGCTTCTGCCCGTTAATTTTTGGATGCACCAGTGGCGCTGCTCCTACAGCCACGCGGACGATGCAGCGATTAGAGGAAAAACTAAGTGAGAAAAGACAAGAAACCGTTCCAGAATCGATAAATTATTTAAGAATTAAAATAAGCTTCGCGCTCCTGAGGAGCTCTATACTATGTATAAGGCGGTGCAGATGGCTGCGCAAAGTTCAATTTATCGACAACTCCATTAGCGCTATTGTAGAGTAAGGACGGCTAAGATAAGTTAATATTACGATGATGCATTTAATGCTGATTTATGACTTCATTGATAGAATGAAACCGCTTGCTGATATATATGCATTTTTATAAAGCTGGTATAAGCCTATCCAGCTTGTGCACTTGCCGTAAAAAAACTGAAGTGCCTCTTTTGTAATTTAATTTTTTTTGAAATCAAACTAAAAAGAAAGCATATAAGATATTTGTTGCAAAAACAGTTTTTTTTTTCAAATTTAACGAACAACAATATCAGACTGACCCCAACTGACGCTTTGAGCCTGCCTGCTACGCTTCAAGGATTCAGCGCGCACACAATCCAACCAATTGTAAACAAAAACAAGGTTAGCCGGTGGCTGTGCAAGTAGCACAGAACGTTCTGAACAAAATCTTCAACAAAGACATAAAACGCTTTTTCATGTTTTTTTTAAATTAGTGTTGTTTTTAGCAAGTCGTGTGATGAAAACTCTGACTAAAATCCAGAATTTTATCATATTCGAGCCATAGTAAAACAGCAAAACGGGAAAATCAGGCCAAAAAAAACTTTCGCAGAAATTGTTTTGAAATTTGAAAGTTTTTATTTTAAAGATGGCGCTTAAATACGAAAATTAATTCTGGTAGACTAGATCGCAATAGATCAACAGCATTTTTATCGCTTATTCTTCTATAATAAGCCTGATCACTTGCTATACTCAATTCAATTTCGATCACAACTCAAAAATTTCAAACGGTCTTTTCTCGACACTGGGACTTTATAAATTTTTTTTAATGTCGTTCAAATCAGGGCTGAAATGGCTTCAATATTATATGTCACTACTCCATTAACGATAAATATTCGTGGTGAATACTTTTGGTTGAAAAACAGAGCCTGCACGCTCACCTCAATCACTCGAAATCAGACTTAACTTCAAACTTCAAACTTGTATTTCTTTACTGGGAATTTTTTTCAGACCTACGACTGAAAATCAAGGAGGCTACGGACGAGGACAAGATTAGAAGGCTCAGAAGCGAACTTAGTCAGATCCTCGCCAAAATTCGTGCCAAAGTGAAGAAAGCGAAACAGGACAGCCTCGACTTGGTTTTGACTGAAATTGAAAGCACACCAGACAATGCGAAGATGTTTAAATCTGTGAAATTCTTGTTACGAGGGAAGCGGCAAAACCCGACGATGAAGGATGGCAACAATCACACAATTACATCACCGGAGGAGAGATACGAGAGCATCAAAGATCATTTCTATCAACATGTCTTCAAGAAAGAGATCGACGAACTTGAAAGCGACACTTCACATGAACCGTTGGATAAGCAAATAGCCGAAAGTGAATCAGGATCTGCGCTGAAGAAAATGAAGAACAGAAAGGCTGCTGGGCTCGATGGCATCAGCGCCGAACTGCTCAAATGCACACCAGATATCCTAGTAACGAGCGTGACCAGCATACTGAACGGTGCATTCGAGCAGCACGCCGACATGAAGCTTTGACACAGAATCCTGGTTCCACGGAACAATACAAATCCGACTCTCAGAGTTCAAGCCGACATGGCAGAGGAACAACGGACATAGTGTGAGGATTGAAATGGCTGGTCGCGAAAACTCAGAAGTTTCAGTTGGAAGTGTATTTGACAAGAAGCGACATTTCAGCTGAATTTGACAAAGTTGACAGAAAACAGCTAATCAATACATATCACAAGATCATTCCACGAGACGAAGTTCGACTATTAACAACATTTTTGACAGAAACTAACCTGGAGATTAAAAATGAGTGTTGACAGAACCACGAAACATTTCCTACCAACATCGGATCCCCCCAGGGAGGCGGAATTAGCGGAGTCAGCAAAAATGTGTACTTTGAAAATGTCCTTAAAGATGTGAGACAGGAACGAGATAAAGCGAAACCACCGGCTTAATTAGACCACGATTACTCAATCCCGAAACCAGACAATCGATTTACGCAGACAATACCGTCTTTATAACGTAAGGTGAAAACGACTCAACTTGACTTCAAGAGAACGTCACTACCATCTTGCAGACGCATCGACTCAAAGCAAATCGGGACAAGACCGAGATCACAGTGATCAAACGAGGAAATAGATCAGAAGAGAAAAAGAAAAAACGAAGAAGATCGGCTCGTTATTGGAAGATTCTGAAAACCTGATACGTAGGAAAAGGCTAGCCTCAACAGCCCTAGCAAAACTACAACTAGTCTGGCGCAGCAATAAAAGCAAACTGAGATAACGATTGCGACTGTAAAATTGCGTGGTGAAACCGTTACTGCTCTACAACTGCGAAATCTGGGGTCTGAGCAAAAAACAACGAAAACTAATCGACGCCTTCCATCGCCAAAAAATACGAAAGCACTAAAGATCAAGTACCCATACAAGATATCCAATAAACAACTATACGAACGGTGCCACTCATCCCAAGCTTTACTCGAAATGACCAGAAGACGCTGGAATGCTCTCGGCCACATATTACGTCTATTAAAAACAACACCCTGCTGGCGGTCTATGATCCAGTATTTCAATCAGGAAGGATTGAAGAAGTTCCGAAGAAGACTCCGCACCACACTAGTGACCACAACTAACTAAGACATCAAAGTATTCGAAGCAACAAATCAAGAAACAGCAGCAATCTTTGAAATCGAATCACTTGAGACACTCGAAAACCTGTTTCACCTCACTCGAATCGAAGCGACTCAGTCCTTTAAATCTAACTGAGCTGTGTACGGGCTTACCTGACCTGACCTGAATTTTTTTTTGGATTTTTTGGGTCGTTCAAATAGGGCTTTAATTTGATATATCTCTTGATCTATTCCGATGATTATTTAGGGTACCAGTTTTACATGTAAAAAAAAGGGAAAAAATTGAAACTCATCCAAGTACTAAGTTCTTCTCCAATTTCAATATTTAGAACACTTCAATAGAATTTCGAAAACATTTCACAAAAACAATAGTATGTTATACTTAATTTCAGATCCAAAGTTATGTAACATTCGCCCGGAAGTACAAATCGACGGAAAATAAAGCTAAGTCCTAAGACGACTGGCCAACGTCTAAACAGAGCTCTACATGCTTTTCACCGTCTCTACCAAAGCGAGTTCTTTGGTGGTCTTTCTAACATCGGGTCGACAAAAAAGTTACTGTTCTCCGGCTTCGGCCAGAACGCTCAAATTAACTTAATTACATGCAAAATTAGTGAGCTCATGGCTGGGTCTCAGTATCCCCAGACCACGAGGTAACTCCTAAAATCAGGGCTACTACTATTTATTGAATTATTGTTGTTTTTGTTCAGTAGATAAAAATCATCATCTCCATCGAAGATGGATCAATCCTTTCCCACAACTCCTAGCTTCTCATCCTCGCAAAATGATTTCAGATGTTAATTAAATTCAACTCAAGACATAACCGGGGAGCTAAAAGTTTATATAAAAGAGTTTCAGTTCAACTCCCGAGACCCCTGCGGATTCCTGAATCCGGGGAAATAACGCCTGTATCTTCCTTCCGGAAGGCTCTCTTCCACCCTTCACCGTTGTTGTGAACGGCCTTGCAACTATTGTAGCGACACAATAGTTGCAATAGTTGCAACTCGGAGCGGTCTCTGCTAACTCTGCTGTTTGTTGTTGTTTTTCTATCACACTTCTCGTAGTTATCGCTATCGCAACTATTGTTGTTCTGATTTTATTCTGGTTTTCTTCCAAAATGGCCGTTTTTAACGCTTCTCAGAATTATTACGTCATCATTTCGAATTTTTGAAATTTCAAAATACCAGAATATCTTGACCTTAACCGTTTGACCAATCGTCCCAATAACGTGGTTAATCTCTTAAAACAGTCAATTCCGAAGGTTAGCTGCTAGTTCTTCGAATCTGTCAAATCTGCAGTTTTGTCCATTCTGGTCGAATGTCACATACTCCCCGGACAGCCCGGTCAATGTCCCCATTGAATCTCGCAATGTTCGTAAAATTGGTACAGTGTCATCGAACAGAATTTACAAAATGCACGAAACTACTTTTTTCCGCGTCATATCGACTCACTGCATATAAATGGCATCATACTACATTGCTATAGCCTTCCAAATTCTTTCACTAATCTGCACCTTGAGTATATGACTTAAGATAAAACATCTTTTCTGACTTCCAATGTCAATGCCCTGATTTAAAACTTTTTCTCGTAGATTTTTAAAAGATGTTGGTTTGCAGGACAGTCCT